TATTCATGTTAAACTGAGGCATGGTATCTCAGTGGGCTAGCACTATAGATCGGCATCAGTTCGGACTGGTACAAGCAGCCACACACATGCATGCACGTCGCTATATAAGTGCAATAATCTTGGACGCGACGTTAAACCCCATTTCACCTCACCTCATCACATGAATAGTGTGATTAACAAAATATGCCTGGGCATTCAGAAATGAAAAGGAATCTCCATGTCAATGAAAGGCAAGGGAAAAACATTGTGTTATACAACCTCCTATATCTAGCTCTTGGTGATATCACATTCACAGAGTACAAAAGAAGAATCTTTAGATCCCAAAGGGCAGACCAAAACATCTCTATGAGTGCCCTATGGCACGCTTGATAAAAATACATTTATATCCCAATGATATCTTATATTGATCTTCTGATAACAAGCTTACAGCCCACCCTTTGTTGATGCAGTGATTGATTGGAAATAATCATCTTTTGGCGTGGAGAAGAAATAGTGCTGTATATTTTGGTTTATTATTTCAAATTCTGAATTGTTGATTACTTTATCAATGTTTATACTTTGAATTATTACACAAATGAACAGCGTTAGAAGTTCGCACTAGTCCTGTAGTCCTTGCAAAACTGTCCAATAGTTAAGAACAAGGACTTGTAGAAATCTGCTATTTTTGAGGGTTTTGTCATATGTTAATATCATTGTAAGGACTAGTGGACTAAAAATGTTAGTTTCTACCGCTGATGAACATGATTATCATGACTAATATGCAATCACTTCGGACTTTACTCCCACATCAGGGGTAGACACTGCCACTAGTCCGTTAGTCGGAGACAAGTGAAAAAATTCAGGGATTTGTTGATTTCTACAAAAATCTATCTTTCACATAAACTACTCATTCAAAATTAGCTGCAGACTAGTGGGATTTGACCAATGGTGTTTATCCTGTTACAATAAGCTGACAGTAACCATGGTAACATAATGGAAAATGTAGCAGAAGTAATGTCAAAAGCAGCGTGTAACCATGCTTGCTCACTAATATGCAACCAATATTAGACACCGTCAATGTCATTTAACAATTTATTAGATTTATAATTTATAAACTTTGACATGCAGTTTCTAGAAAGTACGCAAAATGTTAGCATGGTTAAGAGCCGAGTCTGATTATGTTCAGTGATTGGTACAAGTTGATGAATTATGCAGGTTACGAGCAAAAGATGAGAGCGTTTCAATATTTTCAATCTACAACATTCTCAAGAAGTTATGATACCTGATCCATTTCCTGGCAGTGGTACAGACTTTGCCTACACAAGACTGTTCCCCGTGTATGAAGTGTTGGGAGGGACTGTAGCTTCAGCCTGGGGTTACAGGCATGCTACATGGCTCTTGCAGAACATGCTGGAGTGGAGACTCAGCATGGGATCTCAGTTGGCTGCCACTAGACGTACATCTAGTCTCTGAAATGGACATATCGTACAGAAAAAAAAACAACAGTTGTTAAATTATCTTTAAAAAAATTAATAAAAAGGGGCCCAAAGACTCTTCATTTTCAGATACTGCAGAAATCTAGACTAGCCAAACATTATAGACTTGCATGGGCTGTATTTGATATATTTGTATCAGGGTCTGTAAGACAGACTAGGCTGGCATTATAAAGTCGGCATTAGACTGGAGTAGTACCAGTGCGCACATACGCACGCACACATGTGCATGAACGTCGCTCTATAAGTGCAATAATCTGGATGTGATGTTAAACCCCATTTCACCTCACCTTACCTGTACGTAGAATGTGGTTGATATAGCTATCAGCAAGTCAAAGTTTGTGAATTTCAATCCAACCACCTGACCAGGGCCCAGTGCCATAAAGCCATCTTAGCGCTGTGTGGGAGTTGTGATTGTCTTTGCACTAAGATCGCTTTGTGGAACTGGGCCCTGACAGACCACTACCGTATTCGACGTAATAAGCGCCCTGCTCTAATAAGCGCCCATAATATAGTGGCTAGTGAACAATCTCAATTAGCACCCCTTCCAATTGATTAATGTACACAAGACTTATTTATTTGTGTATAATACGCACTCATATGTTATATGCACCCTTAATCATGGGCAATTTAATCCTGGACAAATATATATGTCATATATAAACATTTCAGGCTGTCAGCATAAACCTCAAAATTTACAATCTTTCAAATTCAACTCAAAATAATATTCTAATAAGAGCCCCCTATTTCTAAATTTGAGAGCGCCCTTGGCGCTTATTACTTTGAATACGGTATGCTGCGCAGCTATCGTGTCACTTGTGTTGACATTTAAACAGTTACTATCCTACCTACCAATTAGTCAGTGATGCATCTATATGGCATGACTTCTACAGTTCCAGGAGGGTGTGTTGGGGTGAACCCTGCTTCCCCTTTCTGATGCATATGTTACATTTATCATCGTGATCATGTTAATACATTTGGAACTTACACCAATGAATGGACATTGTAAGTGTTATCATATTACTATAACAATAACAATAAAGATAACATGTCTTCCAAGCACAAATTGCTACATGAATATTGCAGGCGTCAACAGGTGTTGTGTTAACTTATGATCACAACATGAACCCTGCCTTTTACAAAAAGCTGTATCAATGAGTGTGTGAAACCCTCAATTTCATGCCTGAGTGCACCACAGAACATAAATATGGTGTTGTGGCTGTGCTTAGTGACCCAACTGATTTGTGATATATATATGTACCGGGTATGTGAGAGATTATTAGTTAACATGGTTATTAGCCAAGAGTGTTTTCATATAGAAAATATAAGGAATAAAAAGTGTAGTTTGTGATCTTGTGGCAAGTGTACATACTTTGTTTCCTAATGCATGACAATAAGAAAACACACATGGCTAATAATCTCTTTATCATATCATGTAATTCTTAAGCTTATCAGGGGGCGGTCGGGTAGCCTAGTGGTTTAAGCGTTTGCTCGTCACGCCGAAGACCTGGGTTCGATTCCCGACATGGGTACAATGTGTGAAGCCCATTTCTGATGTCCCCCGCCGCGATATTGCTGGAATATTGCATAAAGCGGCGTAAAACCATACTCATTCACTTGTGCTTATCAAAGACACATTTTGTTTCACCAGAGTAACTTTAGAATTTATACAGGAATACGAATGAGTTTACTAAAGGTAGTACCTCAGCGATAGACACGAGAGGTTTTTGTCCACTACTCCGTATAATGATAACATCAGGGTTTTACCTTGACCTACAAAATTAGGGGCCGAAAAACAGTCACTAATTTTCAGGTTCCTTACAGGAAATAAAGTAATGAAATGGTGTAGTTTACTGTACAGTAATATTTTATGTAATTACTTTATTTACAGGAACTATACATTTGTGCGTACTGGACGCACATTTCTGCGTTGTGTAAAACCCTGAAACATATAGCAAAACACTTAAAAGGGGCAAATTTCTACTAAACCTGATGATACCTTAATTATTGGTCAGTTTGGCAAGGACTATAGGACCAGTGCCAATTTCTTCTGCTGTACCTGCCTGCGACATTATTTGTATTGGTTTGCATCAATAGTCATGATAGTAAACATTATGTGATCAGGATGAATACGGTAAAGGTATTGTTTTGAAATTGTACATATAAGGAAACGAAATGTGTTATTTTGACATATTCTACTTAAAACTGAATAAAGAAGAAACCAAATAATGTTGAAATTTAACGGTTTTTAACCTTAAATTACTCAAAAATAAAATATGTTGTTTTTGTGCGAAATGGTCTGTTGTCAAACAAAATTAGGATACTCATGCTCACTGAGGAAGACTAGCTCCTTACATATATCACGTACATGTTGGCAGCAGATATATCTGGCTATGTGGAGTGTGGATTACATGGCGTTACTTTCTAAGTAGCCTAAGCCAGTCTGGCAGCCACAGCCCAATCAGTACATGAAATCATGCAATTAGTTACTGGCTCAGGTGAGGCATAATTGCTTACAAGGTGAATGTATACACTGGGGCATGAAGTTAGTTTCAATGTTTTGGAGATTACTGATATTAAATGATGCAAATCTGTGCTTAACAATTTTAAGTTGGTGTCTTTTGGCATCATTTTCTGCAGATTTTGGCATGTTTGGTGGGAGTATGTGGAATTACAGTATTATTGGCTGATCTTACTAGAATAGACAATTATTTTACAGGTCTCTGACCTCGGGCTAAAATCTAGGGATGTCACTGTATATTGCGATATTGATGTAATTGTTTTGTTGCTGCTGTATCGATACAAATTAATGAATATTTCTAAATTCAAAATTCTCTGCTGCAGAAATGTTTCAGTTTGTCAAGATTACCCTGGTTAAGAAGGACAATGAAGGTTGAAAAATCAATTTTTAGCATTTATTGGATCAGCCAAATTAACTTTTGGCCTTAATTTCCAGGTTTACATGGGAAACTTTTCTTTTCAGGTATATTTTCTAAATAAATTTTTGATTAATTGATATATTGTGATACTTTTGAGCTGTTGAGTATAAATAGTATTATTTCCAATCAATGACAGCCGTTTTAAAGTGGCAGATGATGTACTCCAAACTATGGCCTACAATATCATGCTTCTTCATGAGTCAATGATATATAATTGGCATCTGAGTCATTAAGTTAACCATGTTAGCTTGATGTAATCTTTCAAGTTATCTATGTGTTATCAAGCACATCTAGGTTATCAGCATGGTGTAGTATACAACGGACCAGCATTATATATGTATATGACATGCCTCTAGAATTTAGGTCAAACGTGATCTGGAACAAGTAAATATTGCTGTGACTAGAGAGTGAGTTGTCACTTTGGAGTGTCAGATATCAGCTACTATAAGCCTTTGTGAAGGGGTCAGTGGGCCAGTCTGCCTATCCCAGGTGTATTACTCAGTCAGTGATTACAGGTGTAGCTCCCCGTGGCCAGGTATAAATACACACACATCCATGTGGCCAGCAGTTGTCTGTTGACAGCCTGGGTACGAACACATTGCAAGAGGCTCGCCGGTTTCACACATTATCAAATTAGCCAATATTTACAGAGCATATACAGAGTGGGACGTCTCTAGGTGCTGCTTGGATCATACTTCTGGAAGTGTCGGTGTGTGAGCTTACGTGCTGTATCTGCGTTTACAGCAGGGATATCAGAGTTACATACCTTGTCTGACAATACCAAGTCATCTCGGAGTGGAAACTCCTAATAGCTTTTGTTGGAAAGCTGACAAGTAACGGAGTAAGAATAACAAATTTTAATATTTTTTCTGAGATAATCGTGTTGAACTGGTTAAAGGCATACATGTCATTGTTTACTCTTTTTCTGAGAACATTTCAAGAATGAAGTGATGGGTATGAGTTGCGTAAAATGTTTTTCGGTGTAAGATTTGAAGTGTTTGAAATGTAAAGTTTTCATTGTTATTTCTGAGGATACCCGTGGCTTTTGTTCTGACTACAATTTATTGACTGTTCATGTTGTAATCTGAATAATGGTGCATAATGATGATGCTACTGTATTGATAGTCACGACACAACAATATATTGGAATATAGGGCAGTAGGGTAGCCTAGCAGTTATGTGTTCACTCATGCTGAATGGGCCAGGTTCTATTCTGGATGTGTTCCTTCATAGGATACTGTAAATCTGGAAAGTTTTGCGAGCAGGAAAGTACTGCGAAAACTGCGAGTAACACACTCACAATCGTTTCATGATGCACTTTTTGTGGATCTAAAACAAGCAAAAAACGTAAGGAGGTATATTTCTTCTACTTCCACATATTTTTTTAACCAGCCAGTTGCATAATTAAATCAATAATCCATCACTTCCTGTTTCCCTAATTACACATGGTCACTCAGTGTCAGTGGTCTAATCAGGAAAATTCACTGACCTGCCACATTTCGTCAAGTTGCTTACTTAATCCAGAAATACCCAAGCCAATCTATACTGTTAGATAAACACGCTTCCGCAACCTTCCGTGCCAACTACAAAAACACATGTATACATAGTTAAAAAACCCACTGACTGACACTTAAGATACAATTTCATCATGCTGTTTTCTGCTTATAAAAACTAACATGTGCAGAAGTAGCTTTGATCTTTGGTCGTCTCATCAACAGAGTCTCGCAAAACTTTCCAGACACAATTAAGGTTAGTGGTACATACCTCCAGGAATTTCATGGTGCACAATTTTCCATATTAACTGTATTGTAAGAATTTTAGCAAGGTAGACACAATTTATGGATAACAACTTCTTTATTTCAGTTAATACTGTATTCTACACAATCATAATTAGAAATAGGGGGATCTTATTTGAATATTATTTTGGTTAGAAAAGAAACGGAGTTGAAAGATTTCGTGGTTTATGCTGACAGCCGTAAATGATACAAAAGAAAAGTCGGTGCATACTATACACGACAGATATATTTTCCAGAATTTGATTGCCCATAATTAAGGGTGTATATACACATGAGTGCGTATTATACACAAATAAATGTCTTGTCTACATAGATCAATCAGAAGGGGTGATAATTGGGATCGTTCACTAGCCAATATATTAGCAAATATCGCCGTGGGTGCTTGTTACGTCGAATACGGTATGCATAATTGTGTCTACCTTGTCATCCAACAATGCCTGTCAAACAATTCAAGAATTTTTGCACATAGCCACTCCCTCTTACTCCCTGATCCCTGGCCACAAAAAACATTAAATGATGGTACTTGTTGTTTTCCTGTCGATGTCATGGGTGGGTACCCGGTAGGATGAGATGGTAATGTGGCTGTTAACCTTCTAGCGCCTTACGGGCAGCTTGGGTTGTACACTTCCCAGGGAGCTGAGAATGAAAATCGAATGCTCGCCTCGGAGTCAGAATACTGTGTCTGAGTGGAGTATACATGTTAAACTTTGGCTCTTGTCTTGACCTCTGTCAAGACCAAGGTAGAGCACTCTGAGAATACAGTGATCCACTCCCCATGATGTTGCATGTCTGACAGTGCCCTTGCCCCCTGTTTGTACAAATGCATGACATGAAGTCCAGGTGATTGACAGCTGGAAGTCGGTCAGTAGGTCAAATGAGAGGCTCATGTTTACATCATGACATCAGGAGCATCATTTGATTTGCATGAGTGCGTGGGATATGGAGGCAGAGTACAAGCTGTCAAGTGCACGTTTGTCTCGCAGTACCAGCTGTGGATGTGGTGGGTGGAATACCAGCAGGGAAATACTTAAATATTTATCTATGCATTATGTTGGTGATATTGTATCTCTAGTGTCTGCATTCTGCAGGTCCACTGACAGCTGTTTGTGGAATACTGGTATACATGGATGCAATGTGTTCTAGCTTACAACCATGTCCTATGTCCTTACAACCTATGAGTCCTATATTCAACAGTAGGCTGTACCTGTCATATCACTTGTGTGTATTCTTTACCAAGGGTGTTTACCAAGGGTGCCAGTTTGGACCAATGCTGGCATGATTTGGGCCAATTTTCATATTGTGATTTATTACTATTTGATAAGGCCTTTCATGAGAATCTCTACTGCCGTAGTACATGATTTGGGTCAATTTTCATATTGTGTTTTACCGGTATTAGTATTTGGTAAGGCCTTTCATTAGAAAATCTATTTCCATGGTACATGATTTGGGTCAAGTTTCATATTTGTGATTTATTAGTATTTGGTAAGCATGGTAAGGACTTTCATTAGAATCACTACTGCCATGGTGTTATGTTATTATGGTCATCGTTCTGCCTTGATTCATTATGATGTAGATTTGCCAGTCATCCATTTCCTGGTTCATGTACATGTTGTAGTAAGGGAAAACTGTGTCACAAGACACACAGACTCTGGCAGTGGAGTATCTACAGTCATGACTAATAAGATGTTCAAGTACATCCGTGTGTTGCCTGTTACTATGTATCAGACTTTGTGGGATCTGGTTAGAGTGAGTCCCCAGTGAATGCTTGTCATAACAGGCGACCTAGTTTGATCACGTGGTCAGGCTCTGTGACTTAGTGATTACATGTACAGGGGTAGACACCGTGGGAGAAACCAACTAGTCCTTAGCTTACATCAGACTAATGGTTTATGCAAATTAATTAGATATAGGTTGAAAACATAGTTCCTCTGGATTTTCTCTGGCCCTGGACTAACAGACTATTGGCCGTGTCTGCATGTGTCATACGTCAAGATGGTATGTTGTATGTTATTTCAGTGACGGGTTTGCCGGGGGGCATGGGTGGCCCAGTCGTCTAAGGCACCGCATTTTGCTGTGCAGGGTTGCGTCACTTGGGCACACCAGAAACCTATGATTTTGGGTTTGAATCCCGGTTCGCCCCGATTATGTTTCTAGGTTTGTCAGCACCATACCCGTGCTCGTGGGTTTCACCGAAGTGGTAAACTTCCGAGACCTGCATCACTTCGGTCTTTCCTCCCACATTAAGCTGACACGCCGTGATATAACTGGAATACTGTTAAAAGCGGCATTAAACCCAACTAACTCACTTGTACGTTTTTTCAGTCACTGGTTTGCCTAGCCCATGCTTGATTACTTGGAGGCTTACATGATTATTGCTTACTATGGCTAAAACAACAAACAAATATTGATCAGATTCTATATTTTATGTTGTTTGTTTCAGGTCAAGATGAGTGACATGAGTGACCTTGACAGGTGAGTGTTAACCAGGGTTAGAGATCAACTCGATGTTAGTATGAAGAAATGCCCTGAGACATGAAATATTATGCTATCCCTTAGAATAATCTTGCCCTGTTCATTGGACAGGGATTTATCGAAACCTGCTCTGAACGATAATCAAACCCATATCTGCAAGAATTGTCAGTAAAAATTAAAAACATCTAATTCATGTTCATATAATTATTACTAATGTCATGGGTGGGTACCCGATAGGATGAGATGGTAATGTTGCTGTGAACCTTCTAGCGCCCTACAGGCAGCTTGGGTTGTAAGATCCCCAGGGAGCTGAGAATGAAAATCAAGTGCTCACTGATCCATTAACCGGGGTAATAATGGTATAGCGCCATGAGCATCCACTTGGTGAATGGAATCTGGCACATTATAAATGCACTTATTATTTATGAGGTGACTTCTATTTTGCTGAAAACAGGACAAATAAAGAGGGAGGTTTTAATGCACGGTTTCACATTAATGCATGAAATGCAATGTTACGATATACCTATGAATTTTAGAAAATTATGAGTTTGGAAAAAGCCAATTTTGAACAGGATTCTTCTTTCGTAGTATGTCCATGACCAAGTGTGTCGGTTGGTGCTGGAGATGAAGTGTCTTTGGTCAGTAGCCTGTAATGTTGTATTTCTCTGACAGACAAATTGAGCAGCTGCGTCGCTGCGAGGTGATCAAGGAGAGTGAGGTGAAGGCCTTGTGTGCCAAAGCGCGGGAAATCCTGGTGGAAGAGAGCAACGTGCAGAGAGTTGACTCCCCTGTCACGGTAAGGACTGTCGGGGTGGGGGTAGTTTTATTTTGGAAAGTGACTTAAACATGTTACAACCCATGTGATCGTTTGTCATTTTATATTATCATGATTAAAGCCACGTTAGCATAGGTCGACAGTAAGAGTGTTTATAACTGATGTGTCAGATACTGCTTGGTGTAAGAGGCGACTAGTGGGATCAGTTGGTCAGTCTCGCTGACTTGGTTGATGTATGTCATCGTATCCCAACTCGTAGATCAGTGCTCATGATATCAATCACTGAATTGTCTGGTTCAGCCTCGACTGTTTACAGACCTCGTTCATATAGCTAGAATATTGCTTAGTGTGGCGAACAAGAAACAAACGTTGAACTAAAGCTATTGCCACATCTATTTCAAAGCATTCAATACAGCTACACACTGTGATACCTTGTCCCCTGTGCTCTAGTCTGGGAGGTGAATCATTTGTTACTAAAGGTGTCATGTCTTGGTATGGCGCTTACTTCGACATGTGCCTCTGCTCACCAGCAAGTGGAGTACTTTGACAAATGTTTTATGATGTGATATTCCACACTCCAGAACAAATACGGAGGCATGGGTGGCCCAGTCGTCAAGGCGATACAATTTGCTGTGCAGAATTGCTTCCCTTTGTCACGCTAGAAACCTGTATCGTGGGTTTGAATCCCAGTTTTCCCTATTTCTGTTTCTAGGTTTGTGCTTGTGGGTTTCACCAACATGGTTAACATGTGAGACCTGCATCACTTCAGACTTTCCTCTCACATCAAGCTGACACGCCGGGATATAACTGAAACATTGTTCAAAGCAGCATTAAACCCAACTCACTCAATCACTAGAACAAATAAAGAATGATTTGGTTGGTTGGTTTGTTGTTAAATATCGCACTCAGCAATATTCCAGCTATATGATATATGATGGCGGTCTGTAAATAAGCGAGTCTGGACCTGACAATCCAGTGATTGATATCATGAGCATCGATCCATGCAATTGGGATCAATGACATGCATCAACCAAGTCAGTGAGCCTGACCACCCGATCCCGTTAGTCGCCTCTTACGACAAGCATAGTCGCCTTTTACGGCAAGCATGGGTTGCTGAAGACCTATGAACACTGTGATCCATAATAGAAATGTACTTTCATCTTGCATTCATTTAACAAGCAAGGAATCTGTCATGATCCTTTATGACCATCATTTTTATTGATGTTGCAGGTATGTGGAGACATTCACGGTCAATTCTATGACCTCAAGGAACTGTTCAAAGTTGGAGGTGATGTCCCCGACACAAACTACCTATTCATGGGGGACTTCGTAGACAGGGGTTTTTACAGTGTGGAGACATTCCTACTACTTCTAGCTCTTAAGGTATGTAACCATCAAGTCCAAATCTTTTCCCTTGCAAACCACTAAACTCACGCTTTTGATGTTCCAATTTCCTAACCAACTCGCCCAGGTTTATGAAACGGGTAATCACAATGCTATGTTGTTTAAGCAGCCTGTTTTGTCAGTGTTAAAGCTGACTCTTAATTGCCTGTCAAATCATTTTATTATTCGTCCAGGCAACATCTCAACAGCCCTGTTTGATTCCCAACAAGGGTACAATGTGTGAAGCTCTTTTCTGGTGTCCCGTGATATTGCTGGTATATTGCTAAAAGCGGCGTGAGACCATACTCACTCACTCACTCAACTGTCCTGAATTCAAAACACTTATTCAAGAATAAAAAAACAGTTACAGCAGGCACCCTTATTAGACTTGCTGTATTACTCTTATGACTTTCATGGTGAAAAGAAGTGTTCAGTGAAGAGAGTTTATGATATTCAGGCCGATCCCAGCAATGGATAGTGTCTGGAATTCATGTTCTTACTTGTATTTTACTGATTAACATGGGTATGTGGTAGTTTAGCTCTGCAACAGGTCTAACATTGATGTGCTCTGTTGCCAGGTCCGATACCCAGACAGGATAACCCTGATCCGTGGCAACCACGAGAGTCGGCAGATCACGCAGGTGTACGGCTTCTACGATGAGTGTCTCCGCAAGTACGGCTCCATCACCGTTTGGAGATATTGCACAGAGATCTTTGACTATCTCAGCTTGTCAGCAATTATTGATGGGAAGGTAGGTGTCTACCACCTGTATATTGTTTGTTTGTTTGTCTGTCAGCAATATCTCGGCTGTATGACAGTGGTCTGTAAATAACCAAGTCTGGACCAGACAATCCCGTGATTAACATCATGACCATCAACCTTGTCTGGAATCCCCACATGTTTTCAGCCTGCGTAGGTCTGAATAATTGTATCTCTGTCTGGAAAGAACGGTGTAGCTTGCTGCTGCACTTGGCTGCCATGTCAACCTGTTCTGATGTTGTAAGAGGCATTTGAGAACAGGATCTCATCCTGGATTCTGCTGAGAATGGGTCTTCCATAGGCTGTGTCACAAGAGCCCCCTACGGTGATGATCAGGTGGTTATTGTGTATGACCTGTCTGAATGTGTGTCATTAGACCCTGAAACCGTGAAGGTCCTGGCTAGAATAGGTCTTCAGCAACCCATGCTTGCCGTAAAAGGTGATTATGCTTGTCGTAACAACGACTAACGGGAATGGGTGGTCAGACTCGCTGACTTGGTTGATGCATGTCATCATATCCCAAATGGTGGATCGATGCTCATGTTGTCAATCACTCGATTGTCAGGTCCAGATTTGATTATTTACAGACTGCCGTCATACATCTGGAATATTGCTGAGTGTAGTGTTAGATAAAAAAAAAGATTGGACCCAGATGGTGTTGATCGTTTTTCCATGTTATCTGGTTTCCTGGCTCAGAGTGATGGTGGGGTAGCCTAGTTGTTTAAATGTTTGCTTGGGACGCCAAAGGTCCAGGTTTGATTCCCTTCATAGGTTCAATGTTTGAAGCCCATGTCTTGTTGAGTATTGATAAAAGACGCATAAAACTCTACTCACTCATTCCAGGCTCTGATCTGATTTTTTACCAGCAGAAATGATTATCAGATATATCTGGAGTAGAGTCAACTCTAAAATAACATTCCCTCACTCACTCAAGAGCATCATGTCACAACAGGATTTCATAATAAGCCATTGACCTCAAATGCTTAACAGATCTATCAGGCTGTGTTGCTAAAGAATTGTGAACTGTGGACCTGTGATTATCCGGGGTAGAATAGGTCTTCAGGAACCCATGCTTGCCGTAAAAGAGGCGACTAACGGGATCGGGTGATCAGGCTCGCTGACCTGGTTGATACATGTCATTGTATCCCAAATGCGTGGATCGATGCTCATGATGTCAATCACTGGATTGTCTGGTCCAGACTCGATTATTTACAGACCGCCGTCATATAGCTGAAATATTGCTGAGTGCGGCGTTAAACAACAAACAAACAAACAAAACACCAGCAAGTGGAGTACTTTGACAAATGTTTTATGATGTGATATTCCACACTCCAGAACAAATACGGAGTAGTGTATACAATCTTGTTTCCTATTTCAGATATTCTGCGTCCATGGTGGCCTCTCACCGTCTATTCAGACACTTGATCAAATCCGGGCTATTGATCGTAAACAGGAAGTGCCACACGACGGACCCATGTGTGACCTGTTGTGGTCGGATCCAGAAGGTAGGTCACAGATAGGATCACAGAAAAAAGCATGGTTTAATTCAACCACTTTTCAAATCTGTTCGAACCCTGTGTATAGTTGCAAAGGCTCGTAATGCTTCTAACACCTCGTGGATCGGGGCCCAGGTCCTTAACAACCATGTCTCTCAAACAGACTTCCTGGGTTATCTCATCTTGAAAATGATTCAACCAGTCTTAAGAAAAGCATTTCTGACTACCTTAAATTTGATTTTAAAATAATTAGTCAAATTAATGTTTTCTTGAAAACAATGAATATATTTAGTCTTTGAAAGGCATTTAGAAGTGATACATATAAGGAATATAATTTATGGATGTCAACTTCTTTATTATGACTAACACAACGTTTTGATGAATATACTTACTCCTTCAATATGTTCTGCTTCTGTCATTTTACCATCAAAGTGCTGGAAAAGTTCTTGAATTTTATTGACAGTTGTTGAAACGTCCTGGTCTAACTATAACAAAATTGCTACTGAAAAATATTAAACTATGAACAGTTTGTGGATTGGGACCCAGGTATGTTTAACGAATCAGTCTTTGTTTACACCACGTTTATTCATGAATGATTAGCTCTTGTATACAGAAAATGAAAGCTAGTTGTGCTGACCCAGTACTTTTTTCCCCCCAAGTTGTCACCTGGTTAAGGGCGGTTGGGTAGCCCAGTGGTTGAAGCGTTCGCTTGTCACGCCGAAGACCCGGGTTCGATTCTCGACATGGGTACAATGTGTGGGCCCATTTCTGGTGTCCCCTGCCGTGATATTGCTAGAATATTGCTAAAAGCGGCGTAAAACCATACTCACTCACTGTCACCTGGTTAGTGTATTAGGTACTGATGTGTCCCAAGAGTATTTGTCAACATGTTGAATGTCTCTCTTCAGACATGCAGGGCTGGGGGGTGAGTCCGCGGGGAGCAGGGTACCTGTTTGGCAGTGACGTTGTGGCACAGTTTAATGCTGCTAACGACATCGACTTGATCTGCCGAGCACATCAGCTGGTGATGGAGGGATACAAGTGGCATTTCAATGAAACAGTATTAACAGTGTGGTCCGCCCCCAACTACTGCTACAGGTACGTCTACAATAGTTAACTCTGTATGATCTAGATTTGGACTTATTTGGCTGCATTGGCCTTTAGAATTCACTTGGCAACAAATATTGATACCAGTCACTGCATGGACCTAAAGATGAAGTAACCTGCAGAAAACATCAATACATTATTTCCACATCATTAGGAATTGGCACTTGTCCTATAGTACTTGCAAAATTGTTCAATAGTTAAAGTATCCTAAGGACTAGTATAAATTTGGCCTTTTTAAGGGTTTTGCTATATGTTATCATTTTGAGGAATAGTGGACTAAAACTGTTAGTTTCTATTACTGTTTCCACCATCTATATGATAGTCAGTATTGATCATGACCTGTGAAGATCCGGGTTAGAAAAGGTCTTCAGCAACCAATGCTTGTAGTGACAGGCGCTGCTTGTCTTAAGAGGCAACTAACGGGATTGGGGGGGTCAGGCTCGCTGACTTGGTTGATGCATGTCATTGTATCCCAATTGCGAAGATCAATGCTCATGATATCAGTCACTGGATTGTCTGGTCCAGAATTGATTATTCACAGACCAACGTCATATAGCTTGAATATTGCTCTGTTACTTATATGTATTTTGTACATTTGGATCACTGTTGACTGATCGTTGGTGTGTTTGTTAGATGTGGGAATGTGGCTGCTATCCTGGAGCTAGACGAACACTTGCAGAGGGACTTCACAATCTTTGAGGCAGCACCACAGGTATGTCACAGTAACAGGCGACTATGCTCGCTGACTTGGTTAATGCATGTCATTGTATCCCAATAACATGGATCAATGCTCATGATGTCAATCACTGGATTGTCTGGTCCAGACTCGATTACTTACAGACCGCCGTCATATAGCTGGAATATTGCTGGGTGCGGCATTAAACAACAAACAAACAAAACAAACAAACATGACCATGCAGGATTTTGAATGTGGGGATGTTCTTGCAAGAGCTTGAAGTTGATGCAATCTATCAACTTTCCTTATCAACACATTTCATTTGGCAAAATAATTAATTAATTGTATCTTTCTGTTACATATGGCTTTATGGACAAACATGTTTTCATGAAATGTTCAGGGGTAGATTTAACAACAAATTTGTTTGTAGCCAGCATGGCTTGCTCCTTTTAAAGTTACTTGCCCTTCTCCAAACTTGCTGGCCTACAACTAAATGGTTGGGAATTGGCCGAACCTGTGGTAGCATAGCCACCAAGCGGGACTCTAAATTTTAGAACTCCTCAACGCTGAAACATTTTTTTCTGTTCTCTGAGATTAAATCTTGGCTTTCGTTTGCCTCATTTTGTGATGATTTATGAGCAAATAAAGAATTTCATGTACACAACATCACAAACTGGCAGCCGATTGTCATTCTACTGAGATGATCCAGTTTAAAAAATTAAGCATTCACGGAGAAGGGATGAAATTTTGACTTGCCAGAGAGGCCATCTTCTTTACGTTTCAGCAAGCTCTTTGTAATTTTAAGTGGCGATGGGCCAACTGGCCAGCAGTTAAATTGACCCCTGACTGTTTACAATTTAGAGGTATCCTCAAACTTCATATAACTATTTCACTGACATTGTGTGTGGTCACCTGTTCCAGGAATCACGAGGTATACCGTCGAAGAAACCACAGCCAGACTACTTCCTTTAACCAGCGTCATCTGTAGTCTCCATGTTCATCCCATTGTAAGATACTCATTTCACCGTCATCACATCATCAACACAGAGGACACAAGACAGTGTCAGCAGCCGAACTGGAGGTCTCTCCTGTCTCACAGTGTCATGACCTCCGAGACCGAGGTCAGGTCAAGTGCTGCGTGTTTGGGAGTCTGGATTCATGACAGCATCGCTGACACCTTGTACACTGCAGTCTGTGGAAACTGTGAAGAAATTGTGTGATTGTTTTCTGGCCTCTGTGGAGAAACACTTCAGTGTGTTCTCAGACTACTGAATCTAGCTACCTGTCATTTTACCTATATTTGTATTTTATTTTTTCTCCAAAATTGTTGATATTCATGTACAATAAAGAATTTGAACAAGTCCTGTTTACATTTTAGATGTACGAAATGATGACGATGATGAATTAGTGTATGTTTGATCATGTTGATGTCATTCCACATTGGAATGGAGACATAGTTACTAACATTGAAACAAGCTTGTGGAAGTGACTGTGTCGAACGCTGACATATATCACACTGATTTGGTCAGCAACACAGCCCCACTGTCCTCAGAGCTAGATTGAAGCTGACCCTTTGTGTGACATCAGGTGTGTGTGTGTCAGTTCTGTAAAGGATTTGTATTGTCTGTCAGTGTATGGCTGGGGGAGGGGTGGGGGGCTTCAGGTAGCAGGTATATAGCACTGTACCATGGCTTCAGATTGTTCAGATTGGTTGAATACTTGTGAACGATGGGCCCGGTATTCGACCCTCAGGCCATGGAGACCCTAGTTGCTCAGAAATAGAGGGTGATTTGTAATTTAAGGGATCAATGACCTGGTCTTTGGACAATCTGAAGCACTGCTGTGTTGTAGGTAAGATAGGACATATATCCTGATATTTTAGATTATATTTAATCTGTCTGCAGATAATAATATTTTGTTTGATTAGAGTGTGGATTTGTTGCAACATGCCAAGACAGAATAATATCCTAATATCTTCATTGGGTTTTGTCTTGATGTCCCAGGGTTCCAGCTACAAAATTTCACTTCTGATGTGTGATTTACTTAGTGTCTGAGATCAGGCTACAGTATGTTTCCACACCCTGGGTAAGACCAAAACAGGATTGGAATCTTGCCATTTCACACAGCTTTATTATTTTTGGATAAGACCCCTTTCATAGAACCTCCCGATTTTATGATAGGTGTGAGCTATTTCACTTACATGCCCCAGAATCGTCATTCTACCTGGTTCATATTGATGGGGCCAAGTCGTCTAAGGCTCCACAATTCACTGTGGGGAGTTTCATCCTTAAGGCATACCTTAAAATATTTTCTTGTGAGTTCATATCCAAGCTTAGCCCTGTTTCTAGGTTTTCAGCACCATACCATACTTGTGGGTAAATGTCAAGACATGCATCACTCCCACATCAACTGGCCCTCCGTTATGTAACTGACGGAAAACTGTTCAAGGTGATGTCAAACCCAGCCCACAGAGTTACTTCCTTGAACTGCCTGTTTACTGTGTGTTGAAGATATGAGCCCGTGTTAACTTCACCCTGTGTGTTTGTGCATCCTCGGTCATCCAGGGTGTTATATACTACTCAAAAGAAGTTCAGGAACACTGATTCTTTCATATTGCTATAGTGAATCTGTCAAACCATGACTGATTAACTATGTTAATATGAAAGAAACAGGTGTTCTTAAACTTCTTTTGAGTGCATATTTTGAACACAACATTTTGAATCTATAGCGGCAAAGGAGTGCCAGGTATGTATCCTGATACGGAGATATTATACCCTGGATAAATGAGGATGGTGTCTGTGTGAGTGTAGTCCACCAGCGGTACTTCCCAGCCGAGTTGCTTCACCTTGTCATATACCAGCACAGCATATCACTCATTGTAATATAATAGTTGACGCTCATCTCTTGTCATTGCTTCTGTGTTCTTGTGTTGACCATCTTTCCCCAGCTTGTATGTACATGTTTAAACTCTGCACATCATTGATGAGAGGTGTATATTTTTCTATGGCAATTTCATCAATATGTAACAATATTACAGGACCATTCTGTCCATGCATCTGTGAGTATCCCACAGTGCAACCCAACCTGTTGTATAGTTATCTCCCTTACATGTTCCTCTGGACACTGAATGGCAGTGGACTTTACCACACGGAATGTCATGTACTTGGACCAAACAGCCAGAAATGATTGTCAGTGCCTGCACAAAGGGGAGATAATTCATAGATTTTCCTGCCTCGGCTCAATAGGTTAGTTGATGACAGTGATGTGTGGATCGGCCCCCACTGTTGCTTCACACAGGACAATCATAGGAGCCGTCATTCAACAGCTACCTTTACAATAAGCATTACCACTGTGGAGGGGGAGCGTCAGGAGCTCCGTTCCCCACACTTGAATATACAAGGTCCCAGTGTTATGGAATATGGTATATCAGTTTCCATAGTTACAGGATATGGTATATCAGTTCCCATAGTTACAGGGTATGGTATATCAGTTTCCATAGTTACAGGGTATGGTATATCAGTTTCCATAGTTACAGGGTATGGTGTATCAGGTCCCATAGTTACAGGATATGGTATATCAGTTCCCATAGTTACAACATATGGTAAATCAGTTCCCATAGTTACAGGGTATGGTATATCAGGTTCCATTGTCACAGGATATGGTATATCGGGTCCCATAGTTACAGGATATGTTATATCAGGTCCCATGGTCACAGGATATGGTATATCAGTTCCCATGGTTACAGGATATGTATGGTTTATCAGGTCCCATAGTCGCAGCATATGGTATATCAGGTCCCATAGTTCTAGCATTTATCATATACAAGTCCCATGTGTGTGGAATACAAAATATACTCAGTTCAACAGATATGGGATAGGACTTATATCAAAACCCATGGGCATGAAACAGAGCTGTATGTCAGCACCAACAATATGGCACTTCTCAAAGTGTGGGCCCAGCAATGCACTGGGGAATACATGTAATGATTTTGCTGTTCACTATTTGAGTGCTGAAGGCTATAACTGGTTTAGAAGACGAGATACTTTTGGTATTTGTACAGCAGAATAATAATCATGTTTATAAACTTGTCAAACATGTACGTGGGTAAGTGGCGGACAATATGCATTTGGCTGACTGAGGCTCCTGTCATATTTTCATGTCTCAACATCAAAATATTTTTCTATTTTACACATAAGCCAATGTACACTTGTGTCCAAACTGTTTCATATTTACAGAATCAAATGACCTAATATATATGCTTCAACGTTTGCAAGGGATTGAGATATTTACATGCATATATATAATCAGTTTGGTGTAACATGGAAAAAATAAGATTGTCCCAACCAAATGATGAGTGTGCGAGAGTACAGTAGCATCATTCGCACTTTAGGCATCAGTTAGCTCATTAGATTAGCTTTACCTTCATCATCAAAGTGTCTATGGCTAGAAGTGGCGTATGTGTGTGTACCTTGTTTCTGGAGTGGCTTCAGCTGTCTTTCAGCAGTCTTTCAGCAGATCATACACAAGTGATGGAAGGACACCTGGACTTTCATGCCTAAGTAAAACATGGGTTCCCTTGATTCAATACTATAGCAGCACACTTCGAGGACCCCAGGGCCCCCTAAAGTTGGAATACTGCAGCAATATTGCTGAAACTAGTATTTGATAAACCATCATTTTTCTTTAACCTGCCAAGATCCTTTTACTTGATAGCCTTGTTGACAAAATCCAAAAGCTTCTGTTCATTTCCATCGTTGTTATACAAGGCTTTATAGGTAATCACTAGGATCTCGACAACAATTATGTCGCAGCTGTATCAGCAATAAGTGTATAGATCAGTCCCCTATTCCATATTCCAGAACTTGATCTGTTGTACATGGACCTGTGTTGGTCGTTGGTCTATGACAACCGTTTCACACTGAGGCCTCTCAGGTTTCCACCAGTTTCCTCTTGTACATATGTCATGCTGTACATTGCTGCCCTATTTTGATGCTGTGTCCAGTATGACTGTCTGTGCTCACACAAGTCTCTAACAATTGTATATTATTACATGAATGAATTATGACAATAAAACATGTCTGTTTCTTTGCTTGTTGTGTCATTACTGCAAGCTATGAGCTGTATCTGAAATGTTGGGAGTTTTGTAGTGAAGCCCAATGACATTGGACAGCAGTATTCACTGTATCAGGATCTGCGTGCAGAAGAAGGTGAAATGTGTGGATGCTTGTACAGATACTATGCCACAGGTTAACACTCAGACACTGACTCCGAGCCCACTTTCATGCTTAGCACCATCCAGGGATTGAACCACCAACTTTCTGCTCTCTGGGCCGACACTCCCTAGACCCTTGAGGCGATCCTGACAATATCATACAACTTGCAGATCCTCGCACTTCTGAAAAGTTAAATGTGCAAACTTCTGTCAGAATGTAGTAGTGTAGCTTCATGGTCGTTTCAGTTCATTGACAAGACGACGAAATATTTTTGTCATAATTTATTTGTGATGACTGGCATGAAGGTGGAGACACTTGATGTACAGGAATGTCACACACAATTCACTATATACATGGTGAACAGCTATTTCCATTGTCTCCTTTTTGATACAAATGTCAAAACACAGTACAAAACGTTGCATCCACTTTTTCATAAAGTTTGCAAATACGACCAGGCTGTATATGTGTATGTTTCTTAGCTAAACAGCTGCCGACACACACACTACTGGCAGCAACAAGCACCTGCTACCATTTACAGGGACACTAACTGAAATGTCACCCCGGGTATCTCTACTTATAAGAGTGCCAGTGGTCTAAATCCTAATAGTATGGTTAAAATAAACCTGGTGCCTAATCATCATTTTTATTTAAAACATTAAGACAGCTTATTGTATCGAGTATGTGACAAATGTACTTCTGCCATCCTCTGTGTCTCCAGGGCTAGCATTTCAGTAAACCTCCACTTACCCCTGGACCCATCCCCACGGTACTTGTAAATCACAAAATACCTGCCCCTTGATTTCCTTCGGCCAATTTGACTGGCTACGCTACTAGGTCTAACATACCAATCAGAATGCTAGTTACAAACCAGCCTCAATGTGGGGTTGGTGATATCAACAACATAGTGGGCAGTCTCACTGATTACGCTAGTGTTTGTAAGAAATTAAGAGCTGATACGCAAAAGAAAGCTCTCAAAAATATATTTGATGGAAAGGATGTCTTCATGTCCCTCAAAACTGGTTGTCTTTGGTGTCTTGGCAGTCTGAGTTGCCTCCCTTACCCATTTCCTTTTCTCAACGTTTGATTGGTCGATAAAATTTTAATGGAAATCAAGGACAGGTATTTTAAGATTGCGAGAACAACAGGGATGGGTCCAGGGGTTACTGTAGGTTTACCCAAATGCTAGTCCTGGAGAAAGAGGATGTTCTCAATAGAAGCAACATCAACAAACATATTATAAGTAAACACTGGAGTGTGAATGAGAGAGTTGGGTTTAACACAGCTTTTAACAGTATTCCAGTTATATCGCGGCATGTCAGGTTAATGTGGGGTGGGAGGAAAGTCCGAAGTGATGCAGGAGTCAGACGTTTACCACTTCAGTGAAACCCACGAGCACAGGTATGGTGCTGACAAACCTAGAAACATAATCGGGGATAACCGGGATTTGAACCCACAATCATAGGAAACTGAAAAGAGCAGGGTCATTCACTGAAAAGGTATGGGTGAACTTTTTCACCTAGTTTGAAGATAGGCTCCAGCCTATAGTTACCAGTAACAAGACAGTGTAATTCACCTGTACCCAAGTCAGGAGGTTAATACAAAAGCACATCATTGTGAAAATGCAAATGTGGCAGTTCTGACTTCAGTATGAACCCAAACGTTGTGTGCCGGTAAGAGGTCCACAGGTCTCCTTGAGGAACACGGGTCTACATGTCTACCTGTGACTGCATCTTTGGTTACTGTATCTACATCAGCAATTTGACATCGGTATGTAACCATGGTAACAAATAATAACGCTACAAACATGTAACATATTGAAATGATAAATATACAAATGTAAAAAATGTTAGTTAAAAAGTCAGTCAGATCATGAATCGGCCACTGGGTGACCACTGAGTGACACGGGTCATTGACAGTTCCGTCCAGCTGTCGTCATGGTTACTGAGATGACCCTTCTCCTCTTATGTCAGCCAACATGGAAGAGTCACCATGCATCTCCTTATTTACAATCATCCATACACAGGAATTTGTTAAAATTTGTCAAATATCACATTCTGTAGCAACCACAGAGGGTTTCAGCTTTCCTGTACCACTGTTCAGCCTGCTGACACTGACTGACACACAAGCCCACGGAGAGTGACATCATGGCGCTGCCTGATACACCCGGCTGGTACTATACTCCAGCAGTGATAGTGCAGTAACTAGAACACTTCTTCATCCAGGAACTTGTCTACCTGCTACCTTGTCTACGTGACTGGCGTGAGGTTTTAGAAGACCTTTGGGGTAAAAGCTGCCTACCTCCATGCTCAACATGGTGAACTTTCTCAGTGTTGGTTTCATTCTCTCATCTACATCTCTCACCATCCAGCTCGGTGTAACCTCAATGATGGTCACATCTCACAAGTCTGGAACTGTGAGTGCGACCATGTTGAGGAGTACTTCACTAAACAACACCCCACCCTACCCCATTGTCCCATCCCTGCTTTGACGTTCAGCATTTATGGTCGTCTCCTCACATCCCCGGTTTGGTGTACACCGTTCATAGTCGTTTCCTCCCATCCCCGGTGCGATGAACACCGTTCATAGTCGTCTCCTCGTATCCCCCCATTCCCCGGTGTGATGTACAGCCATGAAGGTCGTAACCCCCCATTCCCTGGTGTGATGTACACCGTTCATAGTCATCTCCTCACATCCATGCTTGTCTCCTCCCATGTTGCTGCAAGTGGAAGTAAAGCAAATATAATACATTATACAGTCGCCCATCGGTTGTGTCAATCTACTGAGGAATCTAAAGTATATTACCTCCCCTTGGGGTAATCTAATGTGTATATCCCCCCAATTACTTGTAACTGTGGTGTATATGTGCGATGTATATCACCTACCCATGGTGTATATGTGAAATGTATATCACCTACCCGTGGTGTATATGTGAGATGTATATCACCTACCCATGGTGTATATGTGAGATGTATATCACCTACCCGTGGTGTATATGTGAGATGTATATCACCTACCCATGGTGTATATGTGAGATGTATATCTCCTACCCGTGGTGTATTTGTGAGATGTATATCTCCTACCCGTGGTGTATATGTGAGATGTATATCTCCTACCCGTGGTGTATTTGTGAGATGTATATCTCCTACCCGTGGTGTATATGTGAGATGTATATCTCCAACCTGTGAAGAAATTTGTGAGATGTATATCACCTACCCGTGGTGTATATGTGAGATGTATATCACCTACCCATGGTGTATATGTGAGATGTATATCACCTACCCGTGGTGTATATGTGAGATGTATATCACCTACCCATGGTGTATATGTGAGATGTATATCACCTACCCATGATGTATATGTGAGATGTATATCACCTACCCATGGTGTATTTGTGTGATGTGTATCCCATCCCCCATGGTGTATATGTGAGATGTATATCACCTACCCGTGGTGTATATGTGAGATGTAGATCACCTACCCGTGGTGTATATCTGAGATGTATATCACCTACCCGTGGTGTATATCTGAGATGTATATCACCTACCCATGGTGTATATCTGAGATGTATATCACCTACCCGTGGTGTATATGTGAGATGTATATCACCTACCCGTGGTGTATATCCATGTATCTTCATCCTGTCAGTCTCATGACGAAGGATATCCTCGTAATTATCCACTGCTACCTTCTCTTCATTTAGTTCATCCTGGAGCCGATCTCTCGCTGACTCCTCACGATCTCGCCGAGCGGTTACCTGACAAATTACAAACATATCAGTTGTAACATAACGAGAGCTGTCATCTATTCACTGAACTATATAACTACATATCTCACCTGTTCAGCAAGTATTTAACTACATATCTCACCTGGTCAGCAAGTCTACATATCTCACTTGTTCAGCAAGTATATAACTACATATCTCACCTGTTCAGCAAGTATATAACTACATTTCTCACCTGTTCAGCAAGTATATAACTTTATATCTCACTTGTTCAGCAAGTATATAACTACATATCTCACCTGTTCAGCAAGTATATAACTACATATCTCACCTGTTCAGCAAGTATATAACTACATATCTCACATGTTCAGCATGTATATAACTACATATCTCACCTGTTCAGCAAGTATATAACTACATATCTCACATGTTCAGCATGTATATAACTACATATCTCACCTGTTCAGCAAGTATATAACTACATATCTCACATGTTCAGCAAGTATATAACCTACATATCTCACCTGTTCAGCAAGTATATAACTACATATCTCACCTGTTCAGCAAGGTTCAGCTTGAGCTCCTCCCGGGCTGCGTCCTGCTGCTCCAGGTCACGCCGAGTCAGCTGACTGGCGATCTCCATCTCCCTCACTAACTGCTCCCGCTGCTCCAGGATCTCCTCCTCCCGTTGCTGGATCACCAACATCTTATCTGAAATCTGGTCCTGCCTGCTCGCCAACACCTGCACAAAGCAACATAACACCAGTGAACCACAACACACCAGCAAGGCACAGTACACCAACATCATGGCAAGACACAACAGTCACAGTCTTTTTAGTTGGCACAGAAGAATCATCCATTAATTATCAATCTCATCAAACCAAGAAAGTTTGTGTGCCCAGGTAGTGACACATCTCCACAATAACTGACTGCATGCAGCTATCACCATGTAGCTATCACAAGCATACCGCAGGAAGTAACAGGATCCCTCCTCATTCATGTCCCTTCTCCACAGCCACCAGCGCCAACCTCCTTTATGAGAAAGGGGCACCCACCCCACACCAAGTTGCCACACATTCCCAACACATCCCCGTCACGTCTCTCACCCCAAGTCGGCCCCAACCCTACCCTGAGCCCCCACCAAGTCAGCACCTCACCCCACCCGACCCCAGCTCCCAGATTGTCGACACCCCACTCCATCACCCACCTCCTGCATGAGCCTCTCTCTGGCCTGCTTCTCCTTCTCCCAGTCCGCCTCCCGTTTCTGCCACATCCGTGCTGCCTCGTCCCTGCAACAGAACTGGCACTCAGTCTGCGTCTCCTAAAGCAGCTTGCACAAATGGTCTAAGTGCTATGTTTATACATTAATGCTCAGAACCCCCAAAATGTATTACTGAAAGTTCCTAGGACTGACCAGGAAAATCACAGAGCCTGATCACCCAATCCCATGTTCAGTCCACTACACAGGGGGACCTGCCCTAACCCAGGCACCCCACAGGGCCAACATGAAGCACTGGGGACCTGCCCTAATCCAGACTCCCTACAGGGCCAACATGAAACACTGGGGATCTGCCCTAATCCAGACTCCCTACAGGGCCAACATGAAACACTGGGGATCTGCCCTAACCCAGACTCCCCACAGGGCCAACATGAAACACTGGGGATCTGCCCTAACCCAGACTCCTCACAGGGCCAACATGAAGTAGTAGGGATCTGCCCCAACCCAGACTCCCCACAGGGCCAACATGAAACACTGGGGATCTGCCCTAACCCAGACTCCTCACAGGGCCAACATGAAACACTGGGGACCTGCTCTAACCCAGACTACCCATAGGGCCAACATGAAACACTGGGGACCTGCTACAGCCCAGACTCCCCATAGGGCCAACATGAAGTACTGGGGACCTACCCTCAACCAGACTCCCCATAGGGCCAACATGAAGTACTAGGGGACTGCTCTAAAACAGACTACCCATAGGGCCAACATGAAACACTGGGGACCTGTTACAGCCCAGACTCCCCATAGGGCCAACATGAAGTACTGGGGACCTGCCCTCAACCAGACTCCCCATAGGGCCAACATGAAGTACTAGGGGACCTGCGCCAGCCCAGACTCCCCACAGGGCCAACATGAAGTACTAGGGGACCTGCGCCAGCCCAGACTCCCCACAGGGCCAACATGAAGTACTAGGGGACCTGCGCAAGCCCAGACTCCCCATAGGGCCAACATGAAGTACTGGGGACCTGTCCTCACCCGACTCCCCATAGGGCCAACATGAAGTACTAGGGGATCTGCACTAACCCAGACTCCCCATAGGGCAAACATGAAGTACTGGGGACCTGTTCTTAACCCAGACTCCCCACAGGGGCCAACATGAAGTACTGGGGACCTGCTCTTAATCCAGACTCCCCACAGGGCCAACATGAAGTACTGGGGACCTGCCCTAACCCAGACTCCCCACAGGGCCAACATGAAACACTGGGGACCTGCCCTCACCCAGACTCCCTACAGGGCCAACATGAAACACTGGGGACCTGCTCTAGCCCAGACTCCAAACATGACCAAAATACAGAACAGAATAGAGTCCTATGCAGCCCCTGGCAACCTGCACCAACATACAGAGTCTCTTATTTTCAGTGAATTTTAGTCTTAGTACATGGACAAGTAGCAGCAGGACTTTTCTAGACTGGGGCTTTGGACAGAAGGCAGAACTCACTGGTACAGCATGTCCAGTTCCGCCTCTCTAGCCTTCTCCACTCTCAGCTGGTCCTCGATCACCTGAAATAACAAGTCAGAAAAATATATAAACTACATCATAACAAGTTGAAGATTTCAGATGCTGCCTTTGTGTATGTCCCTGATTTGTCATCTCCCAGTGGAATAGACTCTCATCATGGCAGGCAGTGATCAGAGTTGTTATCAGGCACAGCAACCAGTGAACAATGGTGACAGTTATTACACACATCTCCTCTTGTGCACTCTATATTTGAGTACATGTGTACCTGTTTCATCCAGGAAGCATCAGCTTTGGCCTTCTCCTTTCGGGCCGTGTGGAGGACGAGGTCAGCCTCCTCCTTCTCTAGCAGAGCCTCCAGCAGCTTATGGTCCTGTTCCTGAACACAGAAGAAACAGTCAGTCAACACACAGTATGTTACACCCTGTGTTATATCCCAGTATGTTACACCTTGTGTTATATCCCTCCCTGTATGGTAAACCCTGAGTTATATCCCCATCTGTTACACCCTGTGTTATATCCCTCCCTGTATGTTACAAACTGTGTTATATCCCTCCCTGTATGTTACACCCTGTGTTATATCCCTGTATGTTACACCCTGTGTTGTATCCCTGTATGTGACACCCTGTGTAATATCCCTGTATGTTACACCTTGTGTTATATCCCTCACTGTATGTTACACCCGGTGTTATATCCTTGTATGTTACACCCTGTGTCATATCCCTGTATGTTACACCCTGTGTCATATCCCTGTATGTTACAACCTGTGTCATATCCCTGTATGTTACACCCTGTGTCATATCCCTGTATGTTACACCCTGTGTTATATCCCTGTATGTTACACCCTGTGTCATATCCCTGTATGTTACACCCTGTGTCATATCCCTGTATGTTATACCCTGTGTTATATCCCTGTATGTTACACTCTGTGTTATATCCCTCCCTGTATGTTACACTCTGTGTTATATCCCTCCCTGTATGTTACACCCTGTGTTATATCCCTCCCTGTGTGTTACACCCTGTGTTATATCCCTGTATGTTACACCCTGTGTTATATCCCTGTATGTTACACCCTGTGTCATATCCTTGTATGTTACACCCTGTGTCATATCCCTGTATGTTACACCCTGTGTCATATCCCTGTATGTTACACCCTGTGTCATATCCTTGTATGTTACACCCTGTCATATCCCTGTATGTTACACCCTGTGTCATATCCCTGTATGTTACAACCTGTGTCATATCCCTGTATGTTACACCCTGTGTCATATCCCTGTATGTTACACCCTGTGTCATATCCCTGTATGTTACACCCTGTGTCATATCCTTGTATGTTACACCCTGTGTCATATCCCTGTATGTTACACCCTGCGTTATATCCCTGTATGTTACACCCTGTGTCATATCCCTTTGTGTTACACCCTGTGTCATATCCCTGTATGTTACACCCTGTGTTGTATCCCTGTATGTTACACCCTGTGTTATATCCCTGTATATTACACCGTGTCATATCCCTGTATGTTACACCCTGTGTCATATCCCTGTATGTTACACCCTGTGTTATATCCCTGTATGTTACACCCTGTGTTGTATCCCTGTATGTTACACCCTGTGTCATATCCCTGTATGTTACACCCTGTGTTGTATCCCTGTATGTTACACCCTGTGTTATATCCCTGTATATTACACCCTGTGTTATATCCCTGTATGTTACACCCTGTGTCATATCCCTGTATGTTATACCCTGTGTTATATCCCTGTATGTTACACCCTGTGTTATATCCCTGTATGTTACACTCTGTGTTATATCCCTCCCTGTATGTTACACTCTGTGTTATATCCCTCCCTGTATGTTACACCATGTGTTGTATCCCTCCCTGTATGTTACACCCTGTGCCATATCCCTGTATGTTACACCCTGTGTCATATCCCTGTATGAAACACCCTGTGTCATATCCCTGTATGTTACACCCTGTGTCATATCCCTGTATGTTACACCCTGTGTCATATCCCTGTATGTTACACCCTGTGTCATATCCCTGTATGTTACACCCTGTGTCATATCCCTGTATGTTACACCCTGTGTCATATCCCTGTATGTTATACCCTGTGTTATATCCCTCCCTGTATGTTACACCCTGTGTTATATCCCTGTATGTTACACCCTGTGTTATATCCCTGTATGTTACACCCTGTGTCATATCCTTGTATGTTACACCGTGTGTCATATCCCTGTATGTTACACCCTGTGTCATATCCCTGTGTGTTACACCCTGTGTCATATCCCTGTATGTTACACCCTGTGTTGTATCCCTGTATGTTACACCCTGTGTCATATCCCTGTATGTTACACCCTGTGTCATATCCCTGTATGTTACACCCTGTGTCATATCCCTGTATGTTACACCCTGTGTCATATCCCTGTATGTTACACCCTGTGTTGTATCCCTGTATGTTACACCCTGTGTCATATCCATGTATGTTACACCCTGTGTCATATCCCTGTATGTTACACCCTGTGTCATATCCCTGTATGTTACACCCTGTGTTATATCCCTGTGTCATATCCCTGTATGTTACACCCTGTGTTACACCCTGTGTCATATGCCTGTATGTTACCCCCTCTGTTACACCTGTGTCATATCCCTGTATGTTACACCCTGTGTTACACCCTGTGTCATATCCCTGTATGCAACTCACCAGCTCCTCCTGTATCTGCCGTGACCGCCGCATCAGCTGGGCCTTGTGTTGCCGCAACAGGATTCGCCTGAATCACATGACACACACAGTGCAAGAAATAACAACATTCTATTTCAGTGTTGCTACACAAGTTAGTTATACTGTATATCTCTATGTGAATTTGCTGTCGTAACTGCTTTCATTATTACCGAAATAGAATGTGAGTGCTCAATTGAACAAAATTATCAATCTTGTTTGTTATAACATGGTTATACAAAAACCAAAATACCAGCAAAACAGCATGAACCAGCCAGTGAACGCACCAGTGTGAACCAGCATGTGAACCCACCAGTGTGATCCAGCATGTGAACCCACCAGTGTGATCCAGCAAGTGAACGCACCAGTGTGATCCAGCATGTGAACCCACCAGTGTGATCCAGCATGTGAACCCACCAGTGTGATCCAGCCAGTGAACCCACCAGTGTGATCCAGCATGTGAACCCACCAGTGTGGTTCAGCCAGTGAACGCACCAGTGTGAACCAGCCAGTGAACCCACCAGTGTGATCCAGCATTTGAACCCACCAGTGTGATCCAGCCAGTGAACCCACCAGTGTGATCCAGCCAATGAACCCACCAGTGTGATCCAGCATGTGAATCAACCAGCGTGAACCAGCATTTGAACCCACCAGTGTGGTTCAGCCAGTGAACGCACCAGTGTGAACCAGCCTGTGAACCCACCAGTGTGATCCAGCATGTGAATGCACCAGTGTGATCCAGCATGTGAACCCACCAGTGTGATCCAGCATGTGAACCCACCAGTGTGATCCAGCTAGTTAACCCACCAGTGTGATCCAGCAAGTGCACCAACCAGTGTGATCCAGCATGTGAACCCATCAGTGTGATCCAGCATGTGAACCCACCAGTGTGATCCAGCATGTGAACCCACCAGTGTGATCCAGCATGTGAATCAACCAGCTAGTGAAGCAGCATGTGAACCCACCAGTGTGATCCAGCATGTGAACCCACCAGTGTGATCCAGCCAGTGAACCCACCAGTGTGATCCAGCATGTGAACCCACCAGTGTGATCCAGCATGTGAACCCACCAGTGTGATCCAGCCAGTGAACCCACCAGTGTGATCCAGCATGTGAATCAACCAGCGTGAACCAGCATGTGAACCCACCAGTGTGGTTCAGCCAGTGAACGCACCAGTGTGAACCAGCCTGTGAACCCACCAGTGTGATCCAGCATGTGAACCCACCAGTGTGATCCAGCAAGTGAACCCACCAGTGTGATCCAGCCAGTGAACCCACCAGTGTGATCCAGCATGTGAATCAACCAGCGTGAACCAGCATGTGAACCCACCAGTGTGGTTCAGCCAGTGAACCCACCAGTGTGAACCAGCCTGTGAACCCACCAGTGTGATCCAGAATGTGAATGCACCAGTGTGATCCAGCATGTGAACCCACCAGTGTGATCCAGCCAGTGAACCCACCAGTGTGATCCAGCATGTGAATCAACCAGCGTGAACCAGCTAGTGAACCCACCAGTGTGATCCAGCCAGTGAACCCACCAGTGTGATCCAGCATGTGAACCCACCAGTGTGATCCAGCATGTGAATCAAGCAGCGTGAACCAGCATGTGAACCCACCAGCGTGATCCAGCATGTGAACCCACCAGCGTGATCCAGCTAGTGATCCCACCAGCGTGATCCAGCATGTGAACCCACCAGTGTGATCCAGCTAGTTAACCCACCAGTGTGATCCAGCAAGTGCACCAACCAGTGTGATCCAGCATGTGAACCCACCAGTGTGATCCAGCATGTGAACCCACCAGTGTGATCCAGCATGTGAACCCACCAGTGTGATCCAGCATGTGAACCCACCAGTGTGATCCAGCCAGTGAACCCACCAGTGTGATCCAGCCAGTGAACCCACCAGTGTGATCCAGCATGTGAACCACCAGTGTGATCCAGCTAGTGAACCCACCAGTGTGAACCTTCCAGTGAACCCAGCAGTGTGATCCAGCCAGTGAACCCACCAGTGTGATCCAGCATGTGAATCAACCAACATGAACCAGCATGTGAATCAACCAGTGTGAAGCAGCAAGTTTACCCAACACTGTTTAGCCAGTGAACCCAGCAGTGTGATCCAGCCAGTGAACCCACCAGTGTGATCCAGCATGTGAACCACCAGTGTGATCCAGCTAGTGAACCCACCAGTGTGAACCTTCCAGTGAACCCAGCAGTGTGATCCAGCCAGTGAACCCACCAGTGTGATCCAGCATGTGAATCAACCAACATGAACCAGCATGTGAATCAACCAGTGTGAAGCAGCAAGTTTACCCAACACTGTACCCACACACTGAACAATCAAACCCAACGCAACCAGTCAGCTAAACTAGTGAACCTAACCACTGAACCAAACTGTTGAATCAAGTCAGTGAATGAGACAGTAACGCAGGACATGGATGGCGACTTACCCAAACTCCTGCTTCTTGCGAGCATCCTCTGTCCTCCTCCGAGTGTCCTCCAACTGCTCCAAATCCCACTGTTGTCGCTGAAGACTGTCTTGCTCCGACTTCAACATGGCTGTCTGTGGAGAGGACAGGCGCACTTACAGCTCTCTACACACACAGAATACATACAGCCTTCTTCATACCTCGACTGATAGATACTACCCCACTATCCTCAAACAATGTGACACAAGAGTGAATGAATGCCTTCAGCAATATAATGCTATATCACAGCCGTATCAAGCACCTCCCAGACAAAAACCACACCCTCAAAACCATCCACCTCCAGACACAAGCCCCTCCCACATTATCACTCACCTCCCAGACACAAACCACACCACATTATCATCCACCTCCAGACACAAGTCCCTCCCACATTATCATCCAACTCCCTGACACAAGCCCCTCCCACATTATCCTCCACCTCCCAGACACAAGCCCCTCCCACATTATCCTCCACCTCCCTGACACAAGCCCCAACCACAATATCATCTAACCGCCAGACACAAGTCGCAACCACAATATCATCCACCTCCAAACACAAGCCCTTCCCACTTTATCATCCATATCCCAGACACAAGCCCCTCCAACTATATCATCCGACTCCAGAAACAAACCCCTCCCACATTATCATCCACCTACTGAAACAATCACCTCCCACCTCCCAGACACAAGCCCCAACCACAATATCATCCACCTCCCTGACACAAGCCCCTCCCACTTTATTATCCACCTCCCTGAGACAAACCCCAACCACATTATCATCCACCTCCCTGACACAAGCCCCTCCCACATTTTCATCCACCTCCCTGACACAAGCCCCTCCCACATTTTCATCCACCTCCCTGACACAAGCCCCTCCCACTTTATCATCCACCTCCCTGACACAAGCCCCTCCCACTTTATCATCCACCTCCCAGACACAAGCCCAAACCAGATTACTATCCACCTCCCTGACACAAGCCCCTCCCACTTTATCATCCACCTCCCAGACACAAGCCCAAACCAGATTACTATCCACCTCCCTGACACAAGCCCAAACCAGATTACTATCCACCTCCCTGAAACAAGCCCCTCCCACTTTATCATCCACCTCCCAGACACAAGCCCAAACCAGATTATTATCCACCTCCCTGAAACAAGCCCCTCCCACTTTATCATCCACCTCCCAGACACAAGTCCCTCCCACATTATCATCCACCTCCCTGACACAAGCCCAAACCAGATTACTATCCACCTCCCTGAAACAAGCCCCTCCCACTTTATCATCCACCTCCCAGACACAAGCCCCTCCCCTACTCACCTCTTCCTCCCTCTTCCTCAGCTCCATCATCTGCTCCTTCAGGACGTCCTTCAACCTCTTCTCCTCCACCAGCTTCTCCTCGGCACGTCGTTTCTCTGCTTCCACAGCAGCCTGTCTTTCTAGCTCCATTTCCTCCTCATACTCCTCCTTCTCTCGCCGAGCACTCTCCATCCTCTGTCAACAGCCAGCCAGCCAGTGTAACTCACAGTACTCACCACGGCTCTTGCACCAAGCCATACAATACATACAGAGTTCTGTGATGCAGTTCGTATGTCACGTTATACAAATAACTACAGCCATATTTGCCACATTCCCACAACATATAAGACAGTAACATATCACTTTAAGAATGAAATCAAGGCTAGTATTATTTGACTGCAGCTACAGTTCAGGATAGTAAAAAACATGTGTTATTGCTTAAAATGTAATTACAGTATTCGACGTAATAAGCACCAAGGGTACTCTCAACATTAGAAATAGGGGGCTCTTATTAGAATATAATTTTGGTAAGGAAAAAAAACAGAGTTGAAAGATCATAAATTTTGTGGTTTATGCTAACAGCCTGAAATGATACAAAAGAAAAGTAAATTTTCCAGAATTTAATTGCCCATAATTAAGGGTGCATATAACACACAAGTGCGGATTATACACGAATAAATAAGTCTTGTGTTCATTGATCAATCTGAAGGGGTGCTAATTGGGATTGTTCACAAGCCAATATATTAGCGCTTATTACGTCAAATACGGTAACACATAAAAGCACAGGCCTGTACTGTGAAAACCTGTCAGTCCAATCTTGCAGGGGCAGTGTACACATATTACAGTCAGTGTCTAAATTCAGTCAGTTTACAAATTGTCTTAAAATGTTGTCATATTACAACTCTGACTGAAATTTCTTGGACTTACATGCAGATTGATCGAATTCAATTATTGTTATTTACAAATTGACTGAATTACACACTGAAACATGAAACAGATATCAGTTTGTACCCATGTTTTGTCACCAAATTTGTTAATTTGGACAATTCCACTTGGTAGGGTATATAGTCCAGGGATCAATTCCACAAAAGCAATCTAAGGGCTAAGACAATCATAACTCCCATACTCTTACGACAATCGTAGCTCTAAAAAATGAGGCCTAGATCACCACTGTTGTCCAGGGATCAATTCCACAAAAGTGATCTAAGGGCTAAGACAATCATAAGTTAACTCCAATACTCTTACGACAATCGTAGCTCTAAGAAATGAAGCCTAGATCACCAATGTTGTCCAGGAATCAATTCCACAAAAGCGATCTAAGGGCTAAGACAATCATAACTCCAATACTCTTACGACAATCGTAGCTCTAAGAAATGAAGCCTAGATCACCACAGCTTCCCTAACTATGACTTTGATGCTGTGGATGACCCTGAAGAAGGATGACCGGCTGACTGACCCACCTCTCTCTGCTCCTTGACCTGGTCCGGCCACGAGCTGACCACGTGCTCCTGCAGCAGGTTCTCTTCCACCTGAACAAAGAAAACAACATCTTACGTACTGGAGAAAACACGCTTACGAGGTTTTGGTAGACAGAGCATGCCCTGGGGAGGGGGAAAAACCAAGAGGGCGAAGCCCCCGCGGTTTTTCCTGACCCCCAGGGCATGCTCTGTCTACCAAAACCGAGGGAAAGTGTTTTTCCATACTTATACACCGTCTAAATTGATTAAATGTTATAACGAGCATCTATACATGAGGCGCTTCATTATAGCGCTTCCTTGAAGATGTGATATCATAACTTGCACATGAAATTCGCTGGCTTGCCAGGCGTTCAAGAGCACTTGGATGTGTCAACAACAAAACACAACTAAAATACTTACTTTTAAATGAAAGCGAAATCTTCGGTTTCTAAATGTTTGTGTTGCAATATTCCACTTCTTTCAAACAGAAAATTCGCAAATTTTAAAGGTGTTTTTTGCTTTACAAGATTTTCGACTTTAAACAATCCAACTGTTAAGTTGGTAGAGGTAGTTGTGACGTAACGGCAAGCAGTTACTGCACGTGCAAATTGTGCAGCATTGATAAGCACTTGTTTAAAAGCACGTGTTTTGAAACCTTGCTGTCCTTTCACCAGAGACTCTGAAATGATGTCGCTTTTAAATGTCCACGTGGAACTGTACACATTACATTCAATTTTAATTGAATTAAAATTTTGAATTGCTACTGGTTGTCATTTTTTCAGTTACTTGGTTAAACCTGGGATTTGAGGTTTTACATTCAAAGTAAAACCTCCCGAACGAAAATTAAACCTCATAATAGGTTTTACTTTGAAAGTAAAACCTCAAATCCCAGGTTTTACTTTGAAAGAAAAATCTCGCAATAGGTTTTAATGCCTATAGAAAGAACTTTCTTACTTAATAGAGATCCGTGAAGATTCCGGGGCAGAAAAGATCTTCAGCAACCCATGCTTGCCGTAAAAGGTGACTATGCTTGTCGTAAAAGGCGACTAACGGGATCGGGTGGTCAGGCACGCTGACTTGGTTGATGCATGTCATCGATCCCAATTGCGTGGATCGATGCTCATGACATTAATCACTGGATTGTCTGGTCCAGACTCGATTATTACAGACCGCCGTCATATAGCTGGAATATTGCTGAGTGCGGCGTTAAACAACAAACCAACCGAATGAATAGGTGTATAACTAGAGACCACAACCTTGTCAATTTACTATTCTTCTCACTTAAACATGCACCCATCAATGTCCTTGGTTATCCAGGTATTAAACATGACATTAGCAGAAACATCCTGGATTCATTTGCTATCATGCCTTCATTTTGAGTCGGGTTCGAAAAACACAACGCTTTCAAATTCAAAGTATGCTCTTCTTTACTGAATGAAATGATCAACTGGACTTTTGTGTGTATTTTCAAATACATCTGTCTTGTAGCGTAAGTATTTCCCTACTCCTGTCTTAGTAGTTTGTTTGTTGTATAACTATTGGTAACGCCACACTCAACATTTCAGCTCTATGACGTCACTTCCCTCCTCCGGCCTAAATATTCTGGATTGTAATTTCACTGAATATATCAAGGGGTGGCTTGGCTGCTGGTGATATTTTGAAAGATGTAGATCTTTGATGAACTCACATCAATAAGAAGCATTTTGATGGAGCCGGTTTTATCACAAGAATCATTTCCATAACCAGCGTCCAAAATAACTGCCTGCCTGCTTGCCCGTGGCTGGTAACTTTTCTGGCTGGCTGCATGAAATTTTCCTTTATCTTCTTGACTTTCTGGCAGATAATTTTAAGACTACTTACGTATTCAGTTTTATCATAACTCCTCGTACATTCTCAAGTAATTGTTAGCATTATTTCAACGGAATCAAGACATTATTTGTCTATTATTTTTAACAATTTTTCAATGTATATAATGTCTAAATGTGGCCGGTAACTTTGAAGATGGGCAGGCAACATTTATGAGTCAGCTGACCGACTGTTTTGTTGGGATTTAAAATTGTTTCAATCACTGTAACAAAACTAAGGTGGTGGATGGCCTCTAGATATATATCATAACAGATTGGTTGGTTGGTTTGTTGTTGAACACCGCACTCAGCAATAATCCAGCTATATGACGGTCTGTAAATAATCGAGTCTGGACCAGACAATCCAGTGATTATTATCATGAGCATCGATCCACGCAATTGGGACCGATGGCCCACCCGATCCCGTTAGTCGCCTTTTACGACAAGCATAGTCGCCTTTTACGGCAAGCATGGGTCATAACAGATTGGACATATAAAACACTGGAAAAATGAGGAGGACCTGTTCCTAACACGTGTTGGCTCACCTTCCTAATGTCAGGGTTGTTCTGCCTCCAGTGTTCATACAGCTTCTCCTCTGCCACCTGCACAGAACACCAATCATCACGTTTGTGTATCAACCCAGTTGTAGTGAGTCTTACTACAGGGCTACAGGTTGTATTGAGTCTGACTACAGGGGTACAAGCCAATCAGACACCTGCACAGAACACCACATCATCACGTTTGTGTATCAACACAGTTGTCGTGAGTCTTACAACAGGGCTACTAGCCAATCAGACACCTGCACAGAACACCACAATATCACGTTTGTGTATCAACCCAGCTGTAGTTAGTCTTACAACGGGGCTACTAGCCAATCAGACATCTGCACAGAACACCACATCATCACGTTTGTGTATCAACCCAGCTGTAGTTAGTCTTACAACAGGGGTACTAGCCAATCAGACACCTGCACAGAACACCACATCATCATGTTTGTGTATCAACACAGTTGCAGTTAGTCTTACAACAGGGGTACTAGCCAATCAGATACCTGCACAGAACACCACATCATTATGTTTGTGTATCAACCCAGCTGTAGTTAGTCTTACAACAGGGGTACTAGCCAATCAGACACCTGCACAGAACACCACATCATCATGTTTGTGTATCAACACAGTTGCAGTTAGTCTTACAACAGCGGTACTTGCCAATCAGACACCTGCACAGAACACCACATCATCACGTTTGTGTATCAACACAGTTGTAGTGAGTCTTACAACGGGGCTACTAGCCAATCAGACACCTGCACAGAACACCACATCATCACGTTTGTGTATCAACCCAGCTGCAGTCAGTCTTACAACGGGGCTACTAGCCAATCAGACACCTGCACAGAACACCACATCATCACGTTTGTGTATCAACCTAGTTGTAGTGAGTCTTACTACAGGGCTACTAGCCAATCAGACACCTGCACAGAACACCACATCATCACGTTTGTGTATCAACCCAGCTGCAGTCAGTCTTACAACGGGGCTACTAGCCAATCAGACACCTGCACAGAACACCACATCATCACGTTTGTGTATCAACCTAGTTGTAGTGAGTCTTACTACAGGGCTACTAGCCAATCAGACACCTGCACAGAACGCCACATCATCACGTTTGTGTATCAACACAGTTGTAGTGAGTCTTACAACAGGGCTACTAGCCAATCAGACACCTGCACAGAACACCACATCATCACGTTTGTGTATCAACACAGTTGTAGTGAGTCTTACTAGAGGGCTACTAGCCAATCAGACACCTGCACAGAACACCACATCATCACGTTTGTGTATCAACACAGTTGCAGTCAGTCTTACAACGGGGCTACTAGCCAATCAGACACCTGCACAGAACACCACATCATTACGTTTGTGTATCAACCCAGTTGTAGTGAGTCTTACAACAGGGGTACTAGCCCAAAATACCCCCTGGACCCCCCTTCTGGATCCACCTATGGTATTATGAGGTATCATGGATAATTCTGTCCTCAATGAATTAAGTCCCAAGTCTTGGCAACATTTCACAAGGGACAGATAATCTGTCATTCTGATTTGCGAGTAGGTTACATTACATCATTTGGCATGAAATCTTGAAACATGTGGAGAAAAAGTTCAGCCATATTAAAAGAAAATGTCTTACAATTTTTCTTTTCTCCTCACGAGCACTCTTCAGTCCATCTGCTCGACTCCTCATGTCCTCCATACGACTGTAGTTATCTCGCGAATACCCCCGCAGCTCGGCCTGAAGTAGCAGAGAAACAGACTGAGTGTATGAGTGAGAGAATGCATGAGAGAGTGCATGAGAGAGAATCCATGAGTGAGTGCATGCGTGAGAGTGCCGAAGTGAGAGAGAGAGTGCAGAAGTGAGAGAGATAGTGCCGAATGAGAGTGCATGAGAAAGAGTGCATGAGAGATAGAATTATGAGCGGGAGTGCATGAGAGACAGAATGTATGAGTGAGAGAGTGCATGAGTGAGAGAGTGCCGAAGTGAGAGTGCATGAGAGAGAGAATGTATATGTGAAAGTGCATCAGAGAGTGCATGAGTGAGAGAGTGCATGAGAGCTGTCTTTACAAGGCTTTTTCCAGTCATTCCTGAGGTAGCAGTCAAATAACAAGCATCAGAGAGAGAGAGAGAGAGAGAGAGAGAGAGAGAGAGCGTGAGCAAGTGCATGAGTAAGAGCATAAAGCTGATTTTCTTCAGTCAAGTCACAGCATGCCAGCTTAATGTGGGAGGAAAGACAGGGCACATCTCTATTCTATTACGATAAACATCCTGGATCTATTCGCTACCATAGCTTCATTTGAGAAGTGACACCTTCCATCTCAACTTCTCTTATCACTATCTTCCCATAGTATATCTCTCACACAACACTTTTTCTTCTCATCAGCTGGACCAATCACAACCACCTTTTCTGCTTTTGTAAGCAGTGAATGCATTAAGGCGTAATGCAGGATAAGTAAAAAAATGTGTATTTTTATATTCCCAGCAATTTTTTGGCATATTGCGAATCAAAATGAAGGTAAGCATGGTAAGGCAGTGCCTGGCTTGTAAAGTTTTATCCTAATTGAGTGTATATAAATCAACTGGATAATCGGGGATGAGCTGAGCTGTTTCTAAAACTGATCGAGAACCTGAGTGAGATAGTGAGTTTGGTTTTACACTGCTGTTAAAAATAATAGCATGGCAACAGACAGACACATTGTACCCAGGCCTAGCGTGACAAGGGATAAATCTCAATAGAATCAGATCTAAGTTCTCGCTGCCGCTAAACAAACATCTGAGGACATGGAGGGTCATGTCAGAACAACCTTTCACAGCTTTGACCAACCACTGAAATGACTAACAGGCTGCATGATCAGAAACACTTTCCGACTGTCACTTTCACGATCTGGTAAGCGATGCTCTGATTGGTCTGATGACCTGATGAAAGGTTGTTCTGACGTGACACATAATGGGATTTCCTCCAATCTCATTAAAATCAGACCTTGTCCAATCTCATTAAAATCAGATCTTAGTTCTCGCTTCCGCTAAACAAAGATCTGAGGACATCCCATTACGGGTCACGTCAGACCGACCTTGCACAAACTTTGACCGACCAATAGAATTACCAATCAGAAGGCAGCTTTCTCGTGCTTTACGGCACTAATTTCAAATTGGTGACTACGCTTCGAAACATATTTGGACAAATTCTCGATTACAAATTTGAAACCTGAACAAAAGAACATTCTGGAATGGCAAATAGATGGTCTAGATTGTATGGATACACTCGTTAAACCAGTAACTATCGTTCGGAATACCCCGTGTTAAAGTTTTCGAGGTTGTATGATTAGAAATCACATTCCGACTGTCACTTTCATGATCTGGTAAGCGGCACTCTCATTGGTCGGATGAAAGGTCATTCTGACGTGACCCCTTATGGGATGTCTTCAGATCTTTGTTTAGCGGTAGCGAGAACTAAGGTCTGATTTTAATGAGATTGGATGTCCTCAGATCTTTGTTTAGCGATAGCGAGAACTAAGATCTGATTTTAATGAGATTGGACAAGGGATTGACTTATGACCCCTTATGGGATGTCTTCAGATCTTTGTTTAGCGGTAGCGAGAACTAAGGTCTGATTTTAATGAGATTGGATGTCCTCAGATCTTTGTTTAGCGATAGCGAGAACTAAGATCTGATTTTAATGAGATTGGACAAGGGATTGACTTAACAACTTGACTACCTGCTGCTCAGTGAGATCCAGAAGTGATTCAGTCCCAGATCATGTACATGTAATACAGCAGTAACACTCTTCACCACGGTGTGGTACTGACAAATCAGCAGTGTCCAACATCATGGGAGCTGCGCATGCTGTTGCCAACAACATACCCAAGGCTAAAAAAAACAGTCTTGGTTCTCAAGCACTGCCCGCATCATCATAAAGTTCGCTGCACATTTCGTTTTTATTTCCAGTTTTAAAAAATATAAAAAATCCTTAAATATTCCAAGTCCAACGGTAGTCAAATACTATATTCCAGCATTTTACTCAAGGAATTCATTTCTGTAGGGAGGTCCTTTCCCAGGTTGATGGTACACAACTGTTTATTGGTTACATATTAGTTTGAAAAAAAAAACTATAAAAAAAAATCCCTTACTGCCATATTGGAATAAATGCTTATCTTGCTTTACCTCAAACTGGAGATTCTCTTGGTGTATGAGCTCTGCTAGTTTGGATCGGCGCCGCTTCAAGCTGAGAGCTTTGATATCCTTCTCTGTCCGTGACTTGTAGGCGTCCATGCTGCAATCAGGGATAGGATGACCACATTACATACACAGAGTTTCATAGCAGATAATCTGGCATTGAACTCATAGCTAAAGCCATCTTCCTGAGGCAAGAGAGTTAACTGACTATAAAAGTCCAGTTTCCACCCTTGCCGAACTAGGCTGGTATTATGGAGTTAAATTTTGGCTGGACTTAAAGAGTCTATGCATAGTCCAATCAAAATCGCGCACCGAAATCGAAATCCGTTTCGTAAACTGTCTTGCAGATTTCGGTTGATTGCAGGATTTGAAAAGCATGTGCACCGCCAACTCGTTGTCAGCAGATATTTTCCAAATCTTCTCATGTTTTAAATCAAGGTGCTCACATGATTTGATGCATTTCGCGATGTAAGACCCGTTTTATCACAATATAGATCTTGATTATCGATCAGATCCTCCTGACTTGGCGCCACCATTTTGTGCGAAGCAAACGCAAGTGATTCGAGAGGTGGAATCTGATTGGTCCATAGGAGAGGCTTAGAAGGTACATAACTGGTAATAGCCACTGGTGGCGCTACAATCGAGGCCAGTAATTCCAGCCTAGTTCGGCAAGGGTGGAAACTGGACTTTTAAAGTCAGTTAACTCTCTTGCCTCGGGAAGATGAGCGAAAGCAGGTGCCCAAAGAAGGTGCTGATTTATATCCAGTGGGAAAATTCAGATGGCACTATCTAATAGATTTATTTGTTTGTTTGTTGTTTAACGTCGCACTCAGCAGTATTCCAGCTATGTGACCATGGTCCGGGAAATAATCGAGTCTGGACCAGACAATCCAGTTTGACATCATGAGCATCAATCCACACAATTGGGATACAATGACATGCATCAACCAAGTCAGCGAACTTGATTCACTGATTCCGTTAGTCGCCTTTTACGACAAGCATAGTCACCTTTAAGGGCAGGCATGGGTTGCTGAAGACCTATTCTACCCCGGATCTTCACAGGTGAACTCATCAGTCACCTCTTACGACGATTCAGCCAAAATGTAACTCTGGAATTCAAGCCTAGTTCAGCAAGGGTGGATGCTGGACATATATAGTCAGTTAATGCCCTTGCCTCGGGAAGATGGGCACCGCTAAGGGAGTCAACTCTGGATAGTGACTTGTGATGCTTTCAACCACACAGCCACCTGTGGCCCCTGGATTCACAAAAACTCCTATAACATTTGAGTGAGATGGGATTTTACCCTGCTCTGAACAGTATTCCAGTTATATCACGGCGTGTCAGATTAATGTGGGATGAAAGCCCGAAGTGATGCAGGTCTCAGACATTTACCGCTTTGGTGAAAACTACGAGCACAGGTATGGTGCTGACAAACCTAGAAACATAATCGGGGTGAACCGGGATTCCAACCCACAATCAAAGGTTTCTGGCGTGCCCAAGGGATGCAACACTGCACAACTCCCCCATAACATTTGAATGCAGTATAAGCACTGGTAAGCAATATCAATCAGCTTTTACATTTCTTTAGAAATATTCCTGCTACTGGTAAACACCAAGAATTGCCTTAACACATAATATCCAAGTTGGAATTGAACCTGGGTCTTGGCGTGACAAGCCAATGTACAACCACTGAGCTACCCCGCCCCCTGAAGACAACTAGTTATGTACCACCTGTCTTGAAATGACTGATCAGACATCCATGTCTTCTTCTTGGAGGCATCGATGTCCATCTTGTTGAAGTGGTCAGATGTTTCAGACCACTTCTGTCTGAAATCTGTCTCATGATTCCGACGACTTACGATCGCCTGCTCGTAGATATTGCGTCTGCTTGTCCAGTAGCCAGGGATTGTGGGTAATGCCATATTTAAAATCTGAAATTTGTTTGAAAATACAATCACAATGAATCTATAAATAGACAAGTCATGCATGATAATATGATGAACTGCCCACGAACATTGTGCAGGACTCTTATGCCTGAATGAAATTTCCAGAGCCTTTCGTAATCTCTTTAACAATATGACTATGAGGCCATCAGTCCATGACACAAGTTTGAGTACCGTATATGACCGCGTATAAGCCGAATTCTGGGGACCAGAAAAAAGATTCTGTAGAAAGGGGTCGGCTTATCCACGGGATACACTTTCATGATAGTATTTTTCAGATCGTGATCTGTCAGAAACATCGCCTGAATGACGGTCCGATAGATCACAACTTCCCGAAAGTTTGGAAGTTGCCACGACTAGAGCAATTATTGTTATAAATTATCAATAAAGTTATTATTATACACCAATGTTGTCATTATTAAAAAAATGTTATGCATGTTACCACTTCCGATAATAAGTTTTCAATTGAATGTTCAAAGTTTATCGTTCTTCGTAAACTCCACAATCTTTACATGGGTAGTTCCTCCTGAAAATGCATGCTGTCACATGTGTACATCAACTTTGGGACAGTATGAATTGTATTGAGCTTTCTGTTGTTATTTGAGTGAAACCATATGTTCAGAGACATTCTGATGATATCTGATTTCTATACTATCTCCCTTTTGCCGGGAATCTGAGGTGAAATTTGCACATAAATATATCTTGAAGTTTTGACTTGTCTTGAGTCAGGGCTTGACTAATATGCTGGCAACAAAACAAGAGGTTGGGAAATTTTATTATTTTATATTTCTACTGGCCCAGATAGTCAATCTGTGGATAACTAGACGCGAGTGATAACTGCTGACTGTCAATAAATGTGATTAACTAGTTACTTCTTTGGAAATATTATCTGTAAATAATACCTTAAAATAATAAATACATTTTCAACTATGGTAACTAGTGCATATCATATATCATATCTAACAACAGTAATGTTTCACATTTGGCAAGCAGTGCTCAGACTTGGCTAGTAGATTCTTTACATATACAGTACTGGATAGTGTGACTTGTGCCTATGAATGTCAATCCCTGGAAGTGGAAGCTTAGTTGCTGTGAAGTTTATAAAAGGCAACCTTAAGCCATTGAGCTGGTGCATAACAAGGCAGAGAAAACACTGCTAGATTTGGCCATTATGTTAAATATCTCACTTCAGAGGTGGGATATAGGCCCATTCAAATGGCACATTTTGTCTGTATTTTCTGTAATTTTTTATAATACTCGTGTGTAAATCTCTCAATTCAGTCTTTCTTATTGTTATTAATTACTAGGGCTGTTACGATTCACTTGCGTATTCGGTGAATCGAACCGTAACATTCATGAATTGAATTCATTATTCATGGCCACTAGAATCGAATATTTATGAATATGCTATCATGTATATTTACATACCCTGTACCTAAAAATATCCATAACAACATATTATATGCATAGACTTCTTTCAATGACAACACTCTAATAATATTTAATTTTGATAGTATTGTTTTCACTGGTCATTGTCGCATTTGAGCGGGTACTAGTACCTGGATAAGTGCAGTAAATAAATGTATAATTTATTGATAATAAACAAACCATGTCAAATAAATTATGATGTTATTGTTTCACTGAATATAAATATAATAAATAATACATAAACTGCTGACTTGTTATTGTAATTCGCCTCATAGTGTATTCGTTGCAGCCCTATGTGTGTCTAACAGACCATTAAGTGACTCAGATTGAACAGAAACACTAGGGCAGTTTTGAGAATATAAAAAAGGTTCCAGGTCATTTAGAAACAATGAAAACAATATCGATGTCACAGCACTGGCATTACTTGAAACCCTACAAGACTGATCATGTTCTCAAACTATCCCCAAATCCCTAGGGCAAATATATCACACTTTACAACGTTACTTACATTTTTTTATTTACTGCCACGTAGTTAGATATTCCACGGATATATAACTTGTACTTAAACTTCCCTCACTTAACGCCCGAATATCGTAACATTATAATATTTTGGAGCATAAATTTCGTTTCGAATGACAACAACTCATTCATGGCGGTCGTGCGACGCATGCGCATATGTACTTCAAACAGTATTATTTGACAGACAAAATTCGGTTCTATTCAGGGTCGTATTCTACGAAGCAATCAAAATGCATTAAGGGTAAGTCCGGTGATGGACTTGGAATGGGCGGAAATGAAACCACGCGTAAGGACTTGTCTGGTTCAAAGACGTATATCCGTGTCTGGTTGTAGTAATATTGGAAAACGACTACTGACGTAGATTTGCGAAAAGAGACATAACATGTATGTTTGGGGCCTTTTTTAGTTTTTGTACATTTGTTTTAAACTACATAAGTCCTATGAATTTTATTATTTAATTTATTTGTCATTTTGTCATTCAAATTTGAAAAAAACAGGCTCTAACTTTTTTTTGCTGTAGCACCTCCGTTCCATCACAGACATGAAGGTCTTATTAAAATGAAATTCGACCATGAATTTGGTAAATATATTTGCTTCCGATGGGTCAATCAGAGTTTTCAAATCACAATAAACACCTGTGATTGAAGCAGCTGATTTGACGGCGTATATCAACGCGGTACCTATTATTGATAGAAATGTTCTTTCTCAGTCATAATCCACATCCATTTAGGGAATACATGTAATGTGCTGTCAATAAAACGCGTTTTAATTCTATCATAACATATCAAAATTAAACGCCAAACTCGTCGGGGTGAACGAAAATATTGGTGAAGCGGCATTGGTTGCGTCCAACAGAGCTCCAGATAAGCTTTTGGTATTGTGGGTATTTTACCCATGCATTTTGAAATCATTGGGTATTCAAATTTCTGTTAGCCACTAGTTTTTACACATGTGAGTATTTAAGTTAAATATTTAAAAACTCTATTCATCTAGTCCCTGCAAACTGGTGTCGTGTGGGTTCGAGAGCTTTATAGGACTCCAAAATACCACGATACTTCCACAAGAAAGTGTGATGGTAAATGATCATGATGTAACTGTCATCGTGGAGTTTGGCAAGGTTGACGGAATGTCCGTTTATAATTTCAAAATAAGTTGCTAATCGAATACGCAGGGTTACTTCACAATATTTAGATGATACGCACAAGTTTTATTTTTGTAGCGTATCTGTAATGTTCGTTGCGTATTTGATACGCTTGGATTTTATTTTACTGCGTATTTCTGCAATTCTGATGCATATTTTACGCAGATACGCAGCTTATCTGGAGCTCTGGTTCAACGTTTCTCCCACTGTGCCAACAGTAAGAACATGAGTGAGTGAGTGAGTGAGTAGGGTTTAACGCCACTTTTAACAGTATTCCAGTTATATCACGGCATGCCAGCTTAATGATGGAGGAAAGCCCGAAGTGATGCAGGTCTCAGACGTTTACCATTTCGGTGAAACCCACGAGCACGGGTATGGTGCTGACAAAACTAGAAATATAATCGGGGCGAAAACAGTATTCAACGTTGGAACATGTGTAATATAGAAGCGGCTAGGGGTTTCCGGAGCTTCTCACATTGCACTATAAATATAAATATGAGATAAAGTTATAAACTAGTCCATATTGAACGAAACAAGCAAGACACAATGGAAAACACTTGGGAAATAAAAAGCAAATATAATACACAATGAAAGTCACGGGTTTGTTATATATTTATAATGTGAAACAGACATTATGATAACAATAGTTTTGTTGATGGGAGTACTTTAACATTCAATCAAGTTGCAAATTTCCATAATAATTAATATTAATTAATAAAATTTCAATTTCGAATAATGAACTCAAAATACCAAACAAAACCAATGAACAAACATGCAAACAAAACACGTCTTGTGTAAAGAAAGAACAATATGTAGTGAAAAAAATCTTGTTCGAATAACGTTTATACCTTGTTTATGAGCGATATTGTTATACAGTACTAAACTTGTTTGTTATTACTTCCGTTTCCACACGCACCGACAGCTGTGTACGTATCTCCTGGAGGAATTGACATCAACTCAAAATGACATTCTTCGGCAAATGTGACCCCAAATTCCTACCTGTTCCAGAGGATAAACGTATCCTGACACAAGCATTTTTAGACGCTTCACGGCAGCTGTTGATATTCTTTGGTAAGTTTTGTCTAAACCAGCCTGACTACTGATTACAGGTGTGACACAGGTAGGCAATAACATCGTCTCCAGGTCGATAATAAATTCTAGGCTGTTGCTCCTTGTCGGGCACATTCCTTTCCCAAAACATGCAATTGTGATTTTGTTAAAGATGATAATAAGGAATATTTACCGGCAAACTTTTTGTGATGTAATCATTTATTTTGAAGAGCCGAGCCAATGTAGAATATGCTCGCCACTAGATCTATTTCTATTCAATGATCCAATGGTTATAGATAGATTTGGGGCTAATACCAATTTATGACACCAATTGGTGTCAAACAGATTCTATGATCGCACCAATATTGATGCTCCAATTAGAAGATACCTACCCCATAAATAGTTAATGATTTATCCTTATCCTGAAGGAGTAAATGTCTGATGAAGGGGTCCTACTCCTAAAGAGGTATACTTAGAGATGGATAAAGTAATGTATGGCCAAGATCTATGGAAGCTCTTTGATCAGTGGCAAGCATGATCACTGAGGCGTGAATCAATAATTGCTGTGACAGTAAGGTCGTCTTGCAAGTCTTATTATAGTAAAATTCATGTTGAAACAAAAAATGAGTTATTGGTTGTTACCAAAAGCTAATACCGTATTCGACGTAATAAGCGCCCCGCTTTAATTAGCGCCCACGGCGATATTTGCTAATATACTGGCTAGTGAACAATCCCAATTAGCACCCCTTCCGATTGATAAATGTACACAAGGCTATTTATTCGTGCATAATACGTTTGTTATATGCACCCTTAATTATGGGCAATTAAATTCTGGAAAAATATATCTGTCGTTTATAAACATTTCAGCATAAACCACGAAATTTACGCTCTTTGAACTCCAAAAATATGTTCTAATAAGAGCCCCCTAATTCTAATTTTGAGAGCGCCCTGGGCGCTTATTATGTCGAATACGGTAATATGCAAAAGTTGTTTCTGTTAACTTATATAAAGAATGAAAAACAGAAATTTGTTTATCTTAATTTCTTGTGTTTTTGTTTGCAGACAAGATGGGCAAAACCTTCATACTTGTGAAGAATGATGTTGCCGGGAATATTGAGGTAGAACCATCAACATTGTTAGAAATCTGAAGTGAACATTTGTACCATAACTTCATACAATGTGAATTTTATTGTAGCTATATTGGATTGTTGTTTGAATGATGTTATTGATATGGATTTGATCTTGCATTGTTATCGTTGCCAAAGTAAAATTAAATCAAAGGATCTGATTTACAAAAAAATAATTATTTGTAAATCTGTAAAAGTCATCCTCAAAGACATTAAAGGGTGAACTTGTTGTTACCCTGCCTGGTGCTTGGTGTTAAGGGGATAAAACAAGGACTGGCCAGCTTTAAGTAAAAATACTGTGTCAAAGTGGGGTATCCATCAGGGATGTGAAATCTCCGCGGAAACGCGGAAAATCGCGTTTTTTTAAACAGTTGTCCTCGGGAAAAATCATCTTCCGCGTAAAAAAAAATTAATCAAAAATTAAAAAAAGAACACTCCGAAAAATATGATCGAAAACCGGACAACCATCGCGGATTATCCTGTTTTCGATCAGAGCTTTCACCAGCATAGGTTTTCGGACATTATACGTTTTCTATCACAAATACTTGCACTATAACGTTGGGTGTGGCGTCACACAGAAATTGTAAATACTCAGAGTCAGCTGATGGTTTGTTTTTAAGATAAAGTTGTCTTTTAGCCTGTATGAGATGTTTTACAGTTGTTCATGTGATTAGCGAGAAAACTATGAATGTTTCTTCAGCGTCCAAAACCCCATGTCATGGGGATATATGTTGTATTGATGTCTTATGTTTGCAATAGAGTTTTGTTTTTTTCATCAAAAGGTAAGTACAAGGTAATTTTTTTTCAATATGCTTCAACATGGGGAAAGGGTCAGACATTGCACGCTTGTGACAGTTGTCCTTGTGTCTGGGGGATTGGGGTTGAAGTTTATGGCAGTATTGCTCCCAGACCTGCCGGGTAGCGAGGTGCGCGGAAGCTATGCCCGATTTTTTAAAAGTACTGATTTAACTTCGAAATTTTACTGCATCTGCCTTAATTGACTTTTGCCATTGACTTATTACATTTCTTGGTGTGAATGTTGTCAAAACTGCACGAAATTGCTTAAAATGCAATCAAATGTTTAAAAAATTCCTCCAGACCCCCCTACACTTTTCCTCTTTTTTTCGGAAAAACCTGCTCACATCCCTGATCCATGTTAAAAATGCGTCATGGTATTTCAGTGGGCTAGCACTATAAAACTGGAAAACACAGACACACACACACGCGTGTAGCTATGTCAGTGCAATGTGTCTTAAACGCAACGTTAAATCCCATTTCAACGCACCTCACCTGTAAACGATGTTATGTATATGAATCTCTCAGAGGAAAGAACCAAGTCGTTGAAGAGTTTCTTTATTTGTTTCAGAAAATTGACAAGAAGTTCCAGCAGGACACAGTCAAGTACAGCACACTGAATGCCATTTTGGAAGAGAGCAAAACTGGGGGGGATAAAGTCTTAGTGAATGCCCATATAGGTGCCATCTGGTTAGCTCAGTGAGTGAAAGTCACCTGGTATACATTTTCTTAGCATAGTTAGTCGTTAAGTGGTGGAGCCATCATGTCAGTATGGATAGTGGTGAGTAGTGGAGCCATCATGTCAGTATGGATAGTGGTGAGGAGTGGAGCCATCATGTCAGCATGGATAGTCAGTGAGTGGTGGAGCCATCATGTCAGCATGGATAGTGGTGAGTGGTGGAGTCAGCATGGTGAGTGGTGAGTAGTGGAGCCATCATGTTAGCATGGATAGTGGTGAGTAGGGGAGCCATCATGTCAGCATGGATAGTGGTGAGTGGTGGAGTCAGCATGGTGAGTGGTGAGTAGTGGAGCCATCATGTCAGCATGGATAGTGGTGAGTAGGGGAGCCATCATGTTAGCATGGATAGTCAGTGAGTGGTGGAGCCATCATGTCAGCATGGATAGTGATGCATGGTGGAGCCATCATGTCAGCATGGATAGTGGTGAGTAGGGGAGCCATCATGTCAGCATGGATAGTGGTGAGTGGTGGAGCCATCATGTCAATATGGATAGTCAGTAAGTGGTGGAGCCATCATGTCAGCATGGATAGTCAGTAAGTGGTGGAGCCATCATGTCAGCATGGATAGTGATGCATGGTGGAGCCATCATGTCAGCATGGATAGTGGTGAGTAGTGGAGCCATCATGTCAGCATGGATAGTGGTGAGTGGTGGAGCCATCATGTCAATATGGATAGTCAGTAAGTGGTGGAGCCATCATGTCAGCATGGATGGTCAGTAAGTGGTGGAGCCATCATGTCAGCATGGATAGTGATGCATGATGGAGCCATCATGTCAGCATGGATAGTGGTGAGTGGTGGAGCCATCATGTCAGCATGGATAGTGGTGAGTAGTGGAGCCAGCATGGATAGTGGTGAGTGACAGTCATCTGTTTGTTGTGAGTTATAGAGCCATCTGGTTAGTATATGAGATTGAAAACTTTGCTAATATCTTATGTGTTTGCTGATTACTTGTATCTATATGTGAGTGAGTGAGTGAGTTGGGTTAAACGTTGGTTTTAACAGTATTCCAGTTACATCACGGCTTGTCAGCTTAATGTGGGAGGAAAGTCCGAAGTGATGCAGGTCTCATACGTTTTCCACTTCAGTGAAACCCTGGAGCACGGGTATGGTGCTGACAAACCTAGAAACATAATCGGGGCGAACCAGGATTTCGAACCCACAATCACAGGTTTCTGGCGTGCCCAAGGGACGCAACTCACTGAATCATAGCGCCTTAGATGACTGGGCCACCCGTGCACCCAATATGTTATGTGAGAACTGATTGTTAGGTATGGGTTTATGTTAACATCTTCAGGTGTTCTGTTGCAGTGGGTTGGACTTTATACACGAAATGCTGAGGCTACTCATTGAAGATCATGAAAATGGAACTAAAAGTGAAAACGTCCGTGACTTTGTGATGGGAGCCTACAAACTTACATTGGATAAATATCACAACATCATCATGAGGACCCTTTTCAAGGTAAACCACTGTCAGATTGATGGAATGTTGCTGGGCGCGGCGTTAGACGGAAAACAAACAAACACATGCCCAATATGCCGTAGGACTGCGCAGCATGTACAAAATTACCGATATACCGGTATACTGCAATACACTTTTCAAACGATATGTATTGCAATATGTTTTCTGTATACCGGTATATTAGGTCAAAAATATGTTTTGTTATTGTTTGTATTAGGGCTGGGACAGGTACTTGGGTTAGATGGTTCCTGAGCAGGACCCGGGTACCCACAGGACTACCCTGACCCATATTTAGTCATGTGGTACGTTGTTTAATGACAATATTATCTGGAACTTCCACGGTTACACTATAAGTGACTGATGGTCGCATTTCTTTCTGACTTTATATGTTTGAATAAAGATAAAACTTCAGTCAACTTCAGTGTATGCATGACCAGATCATTTAATACGAGAATCTAAATACATTTTGCCGGGGCTATGGTCAAACTATTCCCAGTCGGACATTTGTACCTATCTCTGGAGACCTAAAGCGGGTACCCGGGTAGTAAATTTGGACTCTTCCCAGTCCTAATTTGTATCATTTAATCTAAAATGTACCTAGAAATTCTTTCACAAATGTTCCCTTCAAAATTGATTGAGAAATCAACGGAAACATGGCAGTGATTTTCTCTCACATTGTTATCTCCCCTGTATCCATGACTACAAAATGGCAGCGACTGACCATGCAAAGGCCTGGTTACAGTGTTATCGATGGCAGCTCAGACCAATGAGCACGCAGGATACATCACACAAATGAAAATGGTTTTCTTGACATGTGCCACATATTCAATAGCATTGTGATAGGAGGGTTTTTGATGCTCATCCTCACCGAGAATGAATTCTTAAATAGAGAAATCTCTTGTTGTGGACATTAGGTACATGATGTCATAGAGATAGATCCATAAAACCATGAGCAAATTACTTCGCTGTGACTTGACAGTAAAATATGCTGGGGTCCTAGACCTTTGGAAAATGGAGAGACATATGGACCGTGCAGTGATCGTGGTCTGTGTTTGCTTCAGCCACTATCTGCTGCTGCCCCATACAGGAGGGATCTGTTCAAAGTGCTGCGAGACTCTGACGACATCACAGACGACATGGTGAGTCAGTGACGTGTGTGCCCACCCACCCACTCATCCCCTGACACAACACACACCCTCTCACACAACACGTCTCTTTCCCCTCACACCCACCCACTCAACCCCTCACACAACACACACCCTCTCACACAACACAACTTCTCTTTCCCCTCACACCCACCCACTCATCCCCTCACACAACACACACCCTCTCACACAACACAACGTCTCTTTCCCCTCACACACACCCTCTCACACAACACAACGTCTCTTTCCCCTCACACCCACCCACTCACACAACACAGCGTCTCTTTCCCCTCACACCCACCCACTCAATCCCTCACACAACACACACCCTCTCACACAACACAACGTCTCTTTCCCCTCACACCCACCCACTCACACAACACAACGTCTCTTTCCCCTCACACCCACCCACTCAATCCCTCACACAACACACACCCTCTCACACAACACGTCTCTTTCCCCTCACACCCACCCACTCAATCCCTCACACAACACACACCCTCTCACACAACACAACGTCTCTTTCCCCTCACACCCACCCACTCAATCCCTCACACAACACACACCCTCTCACACAACACAACGTCTCTTTCCCCTCACACCCACCCACTCATCCCCTCACACAACACAACGTCTCTTTCCCCTCACACCCACCCACCTACTAAACCCCTCACACAACACACACCCTCTCACACAACACAACGTCTCTTTCCCCTCACACCCACCCACCTACTAAACCCCTCACACAACACAACGTCTCTTTCCCCTCACACCCACCCACTCAATCCCTCACACAACACACACCCTCTCACACAACACAACGTCTCTTTCCCCTCACACCCACCCACTCAATCCCCTCACACAGCACAAAGTCTCTTTCCCCTCACACCCACCCACTCATTCCCTCACACAACACAACGTCTCTTTCCCCTCACACCCACCCACTCAATCCCTCACACAACACACACCCTCTCACACAACACAACGTCTCTTTCCCCTCACACCCACCCACTCAATCCCCTCACACAGCACAAAGTCTCTTTCCCCTCACACCCACCCACTCAATCCCTCACACAACACACACCCTCTCACACAACACAACGTCTCTTTCCCCTCACACCCACCCACCTACTAAACCCCTCACACAACACAACGTCTCTTTCCCCTCACACCCACCCACTCATCCCCTCACACAACACAACGTCTCTTTCCCCTCACACCCACCCACCTACTAAACCCCTCACACAACACACACCCTCTCACACAACACAACGTCTCTTTCCCCTCACACCCACCCACCTACTAAACCCCTCACACAACACAACGTCTCTTTCCCCTCACACCCACCCACTCAATCCCTCACACAACACACACCCTCTCACACAACACAACGTCTCTTTCCCCTCACACCCACCCACTCAATCCCCTCACACAGCACAAAGTCTCTTTCCCCTCACACCCACCCACTCATTCCCTCACACAACACAACGTCTCTTTCCCCTCACACCCACCCACTCAATCCCTCACACAACACACACCCTCTCACACAACACACACCCTCTCACACAACACAACGTCTCTTTCCCCTCACACCCACCCACTCAATCCCCTCACACAGCACAAAGTCTCTTTCCCCTCACACCCACCCACTCATCCCCTCACACAACACACACCCTCTCACACAACACACACCCTCTCACACAACACAACGTCTCTTTCCCCTCACACCCACCCACTCAACCCCTCACACAACACAACGTCTCTTTCCCCTCACACCCACCCACTCATCCCCTCACACAACACAACGTCTCTTTCCCCTCACACCCACCCACTCATCCCCTCACACAACACAATGTCTCTTTCCCCTCACACCCACCCACTCAACTCCTAACACTACACAACACGCACACGCACACACTGACATGAGGATAAAGGTCTGGTATATACAATTTTTTTTCTATTTTTCAGATAATAGCAGATGCCAAGGAATACATTGTATCATTGGGAGACAATGTTAAGACTCTAGAGGCCACTATCAAAGACCTCGGAGTCAAGGAATAAACATACCTGTGTCACATGACCAACACATGCTCTCTGTCACAAATATACAATAGGAATACAAAAAGTGGCAGCTATATCCTAATCATGTAATACCCATGCTCATGGGTTTCACCAACGTGGTAAATGTCTAAGACCTGCATCACTTCGGGCTTTCTACCCACATTAAGCTGACACTTCGTGATATAACTGGAATGCTGTTCAAAGTGACGTTAAACCCAACTCACTCACTCAGTGTTTATCTGTGTGTCTTTGGAACTTAAATAAAACGTTTTTCGTATTCTGACCATTAATGTATAAGCCTAGCGCTGAGATCATTTTGTGAAAGTTGATTCAGGATGCCGAGACTAAGTGTCAGTTGTGTTACAGAGACGAGTCAGCGCGGATGTGAACTCACTCACTCACTCACTCAAGCACGCAATCACTCACTCACTCAATCACTCAAGCATGTAATCACTCAAACCTTACAATGGGGCGCTAACTTTCAGCCGCTTGCAATCGTACCAATCACTGACTGTGGTCGCTTCGCTCTCAAACCAAAATGGTAGCTATGTTCGATAGCGAAACAAGAAATTCTTGACTGCATTTTCTTTTCAAAATGGGCAAAGGCAGCAAACACTCCATCCTCCTCAGTCTGCTCCACATCTTCAAAGTAGTCATAACTTCATCAGCTCATCATAGAGCCTCTTCTGTAACATTCTTCATTAGGGCAAGGCAACCAAGCGGAAGTTGCGCCGCCATTTTGAAAGAGTGCACAAGCGCTTCGAACTGTTGCAGACCCAAGTATTAGCGAATAATTTGCTTACTCTAAGCGATTCGTGGCTTGCAAAACGCCCCTACTGTGAGTGATGTCATGTGACAGGTTTGGGCTCGTAGACTCAGGTTTGGGCACAGTCTTCAAACGCGTCTTTATTGCACACAAGGCACTGAATACAAAGATTAGATCTGCACTGCATAGGCGCAAGACCACAGAGCCGTGTCTCCCTTGAATTAAGAAAATGTTTTTGCAGGTAACTTGAATACTTAGATGTTTGTAGACGTGAGTGTCCTGACACTACACTGGCAGTATGTGGCTTATTGTTATCTGTGTAGAGAGAGTGCTTGTGGTCAGTGTGATGTGGTCAATTTGGGTGACACACTCTAATAGACATATTATGTTTGGGTGATTCTTTCTTATTGGGTTTATTTCAGTACAAAAAGAGTTAGACAAAACTATTTTTTATATTCCTGTGTACAGTTCGACCACTAATTTAACTGATGCAAATAACTTCTTCCTCATAAAATTTAAAAAATCAAGCTATACAATTGTTTTTTTAAATTATTTTGACTGGCCCAAGCTAAATATTTGACCATAAAAATGAAAATGAAAAAAGGGTTTTGTAAGTCTTTAAACCTTCATTAATAAAAGAAAGTGTATTGAGTTGAGTACATTTTTTAAATATACATGAATATTTTTGGGGTTATTTTTTTGTAGTGAAGACTGATATTTTATAAAACATCCCCCAAAAACTTTTTGGTTCAGTATATGATTAAATTCATGTTTACTTAGCTGTTACAATTCCATGTTTTCAGAACATGTCACCCAAATACATCCTTAGCTTTAGATATGGACTTCCACTACTCATCAGGTATATTTGCATCAAACAATGTACACTACTTGCAGCGCTGTCCAGGAAACTGGCCTTCACACTTATTAATCAACTGAATGATATTTGTTTGAGAGTATATCTTTATATTTGCTACTATTTGCATGGCCACTGTTTCAAATATTCTACAGAAAATATAATGTTTAGGGACTGGTCACTTGAGGGGGGTAGGACACTATCATATTTTGCTGCTGCTGCCATTTATTCATGGACACCCCCACCCTGCACCCAAAAATGACCAGTCCCTGAAGGATTGTGAATTCTTCTGTACGTTACTTGTTTTTTTTTGCAAATATATGTTAGTTACTATTTATGATCATGTGCACAATTTCTTCACTGCAGTGAAAACCTGTTATTCTGGACTCGACTTTTCCCAAAATAATTACTGTATTCTACATAATAAGCGCCCCGCTCTAATAAGTGCCCACAGCGATATTTGCTAATATATTGGCTAGTGAACAATCTCAATTAGCACCCCTTCCTATTGATCGATGTACACAAAACTTATTTATTCGTGTATAATACGCACTCATGTGTTATATGCACCCTAAATTATAGGCAATTAAATTCTGGAAAAATATATCTGTCGTATATAAACATTTCAGGCTATCAACATAAACCACGAAATTTATGGTCTTTCAACTCTGTTTTTCTTCACCAAAATATTATTCTAATAAGAGCCCCCTATTTCTAATTTTGAGAGCACCCTGGGCGCTTATTACGTCGAATACGGTATTGTCTGGATCATCAAATTTCCTGATTACAGAATCATTTGTATGACTTAATCCGGGTTCCAGATAAATTGTTATCATTCACATCAGGTAATATAAATATTTATTGTTTTCTTTGGGAATTCGGTATCTTGTTCCTCCCTTGGGTCCAGCCTATAGGCTATTTTTTCAACACTGAGTAGACATTCTTTCAAAAATAATTCTGCTAATGGTGATTAATATGCATTTTTAGCAAGTTCACAGTTTATCTGGAGCAAAAACCTATATACAGTCGTCTCGTTAATCCGTCCCTCGTTAATCCGACAATCGGCTATTTCAACTATTATGGGAAATGGTCAAATCAGTGCTATTTAGACCTGTTAATCCGACAGTCTCGCACTCTGACTCTGCCACACCTAATTTGCAACGAATTACCGAAATACTCATTAATGTCACGTTAATCTGACACAGTGATCAGCGTACTCCGTGGTCATACGCCCGTGAGTACACAACCCCATGTTTTGATGCAAGACAAGTCAGCTAGTATCGGCATATTACAACAGCTGCAGAGATAAACTTGCTTAACAATCAACAATTAATGCTTTGAATTAACAAAACAGGATTTTTCACATGCTTAGATTACCTCAATCTCTTTAAAATCAATACAAGTTCTCTCTACCCCTTTGGCAGGAGCTCTGCATAATTTTAGTTGTGTTGATATCAACAGAGAAAAGGAGGGTCTGTACCAACAGGGTTTTTACTGTAGATGATGACGTAGAGACAAGTCATCAGTGGGGCCAAGCAGCTGGTGTTTCACACAGAACTGTGTCCAGCTTTGTATATATATTTGATAACTTTGTGCTTGTACTGTTTGACAATGAATTGTATTTTACAGGGGTGTCACGATCCACTGATGTATCGATACACCCGATGATATGATACACAATATGCTGTCCACACAATGATGTACGTGTATTGATTAATATTGTAGTTTTGTAACTATTGTCATAAAGTATGATGTTATTCATTAACTCCATCTTCCCGAAGCAAGGGAGTTAACTGACTATAAAAGTCCAGTTTCCACTCTTGCTGAACTAGGCTGGTATTATGGAGTTTTGGCTGGACTAACGAGTCTATGCATTGTCCAATCAAAATCGTGCAACGAAATCCAAATCCGGTTCATAAACTGTCATGCAGATTTTGGTCGATTGCAGGATTTGCAAAGCATGTGCACCGCCAACTTGTCAACAGATATTTTCGAAATCTTTTCATGTTTTTAATGAAGGTGCTCATGTGATTTGATGCACTTCGCGATGTAAGACTCGTTTTATCGCAGTATAGATCTTGATCTCAGTCAGATCGTCTTGACTGGGTGCCGCCATTTTGTTTAGCAAATGCAAGTGATACGAGAGGTGGAATCCATAGAAGGGACATAACTTGTAATAGCCACAGCTAACTCTTTTGCCTCGGGAAGATGATTAACTCGGATTGATGGATACCGGGGGTACCGGGGGTACTCGGGCTACCATCAACCTTAGGCCAGACTTTATAAAAATTGGTTATGAATTCGACTCCAAATAATAGAAATGCGAAAAAATAAAACAATCACTTTATGAAAGCTTAAGTTTTTCTATTCCACCAACCAGAAGTTAGTACGATGTTAAAAAACCCAACTAGTATGCTGTTGCTATCCTGATAAATAAATTATTTTTGTTATAATTAAAACCTGTGGAAAATGTTTAAAAAACTATAAAAAAGCAACAAATTAGTGCAGATGAAAATACTGACGTGGAGTTTTGGGCCCAAATAATCTGTATTCATGGGTGATAGAGACACAAACCTGGAAATTATTGATGCTGCAAGTATTGCAATAAGTATCTATGGTTTGGAAGCTGGATCGTGATACCCCGAAGTGTTCTATCAATGTGTTTTATCTGAGAGTACATCTCACTATATCACAGAAGCTGAGTTATTATTGACATGAAATCTCCTATACTACTCAAAAGAAGTTAAGGACCGCCCGATTCTTTCACATTGCTATAGTTAATCTGGCATGGCATGGCACCCCTGATTAACTGTACTAATGTAGCAGAGTTGAGAATAATGTTATTTGGTGGTGGATTGTAAGTTCAACATGATTAATTTAGTACTTCCAAGATTAATGAATTCTTCCCACTACCCATTAAGGGCCCCTAGGCCATAGAGAGCCTCATTTTTTTACGAGAAATGTGTCATCACATTTGATTGGCTACAAGTTTCTGTAAACCAAGTAGAACCAGTTTGATTGGTTTGGTAATGAACTTGGGAGTGGGAACACCTTTTTCATGGATGGATGCATCCAGTACATAAATAAGAAGGAATTAGGTGGTCCTTACCTTAACACAAAAGAGCAGTATATTTATCATTACATGTGCTGTTTTATAATCTATTCTGAAGAGAATGAGGAGTAACTGGTTTTAACTTATGTATGTGCAGTTTAAATTACAGTTTAATGAAGTTGTAAAAAGATAAATTCATTATGTTATTATCACCCTGTAAATGTCAGGTACAGTAAACTATGGTTATAATGAACTCAAAGGGACCCCTTATTTCAGTTTGTTATAACAGTTGTTTGTCATAAGCATTTTGACTGTCAGACATCTTGGATCAAGTCATGTGACTACGTCATGCACAGTAAACTTTGATTACAACAACACGCTTATAACGAACTGACCGATGATCCATAAATATGCTTATAACGAGCTATGGTTATTACGAACTAAAATTAGTGGTCCCTTCGAGTTCGTTATAACCGTAGTTTACTGTAGTTGGAATTCATGTAAGTATCAATCCAAAGAGGCTTTAAAGTCTTAAGTCATTGAATGTTTATTCTGTATCTTGTTTATTCTGTTTTTTGCAAGGAATTCTTGTTTTACCAAATTGCTTGGAATGATCAAAACTGCCTCAAAGCTATAAATCACAGTATGGTGTTAAAACACTGTGGTCCTAGAACAAGTCTTTGGTCGCTTATTTTGTAATGACATGAAATTGATAAACTAATAATGAATTTATATCATCCATATTTTGTGTCAGCTTGTATCAATTCACATTTGTCCTGCTTATAATATGTTAAAAAAATGTTTACATTTTTTGGAAGAAATAATTTCATATTTGCTCATTCTGTAAAAGTCAATTATTTAGAACGGCTGTGATAGTAATCAAATTGCTTTAATCAGTATTCCTGGAAATTAATGAATTGTACATACAGAGATTAAAATCAGATCATGTACTTGAGTGATATCCTGTTGACTTTCTAGGGGACAGATGTGGCCCTAGGTGCTGTTGTACAAACCAACATTAGCACTACGCCTGTCGTATGTCTTGTTAAGGTATTAGAGTTACGATCACCTTAGTGCTAACATCGCTTTGTACAATGGCATCCTGTTATGTAAGGCATTGTAAGTGTCTTCGCAGAGTTGTGTCATTTCAAATTAGATTTGCCATGTATATGTTCATTATTTTATCAGCACACATGTTCATGGGTTTCCTGAAGATTTATGACTTATGTTACTATGGGCTTTTCATCTAACTTCATGAGGGGCTGTCGGGTAGCCTTGTGATTAAAGCGTTCGCTCGTCACGCTGAAGACCCAGGTTTGATTCCCGACATGGGTACAATGAGTGAAGCCCATTTCAGGTGTCCCCGCAGTGATATTGCTGGAATATTGCTAAAAGCGGTGTAAAACCATACTCACTTACTCTAAATTCATGCCGACACAAAGGACTACAATGACTGAAAACCCAACTTCATTCTACAATTATTTCTGACCAACATGCTGACCTCATGAGCTTACTAATCCTAAGGATGTGCACATGTTCAGTCTTTGTACTGGTATATTAAACAAGCCTGAATTAGTGTTACCCAAGATAATGACTGTCAAATCATACTTGTTCAAATCTTATCTCATTTGTCTGATATGCATGATCCACAGCAACCTGTGCTGTTCATAAGAGGTGTCGGGGCGGTCGGGTAGCCTAGTGGTTAAAGCGTTCGCTCGTCACGCCGAAGACCCGGGTTGGATTCCCGACATGGGTACAATGTGTGAAGCCCATTTCTGGTGTCCCCCGCCATGATATTGCTGAAATATTGCTAAAAGCGGCGTAAAATCAAACTCACTCTCTCTCATAAGAGGTGTCCGCATGGATCAGGTGCTCAGGCTTGATGACTTGGCTGGTTTGGGTGTCATACCTGAAGGTGTGGATCGTTGCTCACATTAATCACTGAATTGTCTGGTCTAGACTAAGTTATCTATAGGCCAGCCTCCTACAGCTGGAATGTTTCCAGGTGCTGCGTTAAACAACAAACAAACATTTGTCTGAGCTGACATGTTTATTTTCAGATTTGATCAAGATGTATCAGTTCTGAAATAGAAATCACAAAATTCTATATGCAGTAGGCTTATCTTCGAAATCCTGTGTTTTTGTCCAGAATGGTTTTGAAAGTCAAATACAGTAGATACATCATTGCCTTATTAGATAGACTTCATAATCTTGGCTAGGTAGTTTGTTTGTCAAATGAGGGTTCCTGTTGCCATTATGTGTTGGTTTTCTTTTTCTTTGTGGAGCATTTCTTCCTTTCATTCCAGTACACTGTTACTAGCTTGGTAGCACACTGCAGAGCTCCAAATAACTTTTTTTACTCTAGGGTTTCTATAAAATTGGGTTATAACATTTTTCATTGGGTAACCAATACTATTTCACTCATCGATTGATCACTCTTTTAGGTTTTTCCCAAAATTAGTGAACATTTTAAGATTTAAAAACAATGAAATCATGT